CCTGATGTAAACAAGACGAACGTCTTTCTCTGGTCTGCATCCCCTTAACAATTGTATGTTTTGAGCTGTACTGTACCCAATATACAAGCTGTTAATAAACTTTTCAATCAATCAATCAACACACACACACACACACACACACACACACACACACACACATACCATGTATACATCACTTCAGGGGACATTACATTGACTTACATGCATTTCCTGGAGACTTATCCTAACCTTAACCATAACCAACACATGCCTAACCCTAACCCTTACCCTTAACCTTACCCTTACCCTAACCCTAAGTCTTCACCCTAAAATTAATGATTCCCAGTAGCGTGGCGTGGGGAAAAATGTAGGGGAAGCCCATTTTTTGGGTCGGGGGGTGGTCAATAACGTAACCAGATGAGTGATTACAGCGCCCGGTATCATTTGACACACATTTGTATCACACAGATGCAGGACTTGCACACGCCTGTTATCTAACCGACAGGTCCGCACGCACTCTCCAGCTGAAACTCTCTCCTTATTAATTTAAGCATTTTACTTATTAATGTATGCAGACAATCACACAATCTATGTGATTTTTGGATTTACCGTGCCTCTCAATTGCCCGTGACAGGTTGGCAAGGACGATGAATCCTGAAGTTGCCCTAGGATTGTTCAGGGAGCACGAATCCTTGTCAAAAAGAAGACATGGCCAGCAAATTTGACGCTGAAGTTTAGCGCTTCCAGTTAGCCACTCCGTGCGGACATAATTGTCCTCATTGAACGTCCGATTCTCTCCCTTTTTCCTCTGTGTACACAGCTGGAGTGCGGGCATTGGCCTGTCATCTGATTTAATTTTTAGTTGCTGCTGTAGCGGAAGTTTAGTAAAGTTATGTTTGATTAAGTACGCCAAATCTCCACCCTCCATAATGCTTCATTTGCTTGATAATTTCTAACGGCGGTGATGACAGTTACAGTATTAAAACTGATGTTGATGTGATTTGATTGGATGGCAGTGTCCAATCAAATCGCCAGCCGCCAGCCGCCTCTGAAGGGAAGCAAGAGGCGGCTAGCTTCCCTTGGCATGGCCCTGACCAATCACAGGTTGGCAGGGGCATCACGTGGGCCTCATCTGATTGGTCAATCCCTCCATTTTTTTTCACCAAGGGAAGCTAGATTCGGCTGGCCTCCTCTCGCAACAGTGAGTGCAATCTACTGTTTCACCATAACATCTAGAGGGGCGCTGTTTGTTTCACTCTTTGTAAAATACTCAATGAGAATGGGGGAGAGACGGGCCGGCAGCAACACACAGCAAAGGAGAATTATCGAAACAAAACAAAGTGTTTGTATTTATTTATTTAAATTATAACTACAATCCGAAAAAACAGGGGAAGCCTGGCTTCCCTTGGCCTCCGGGAGAAAACGCCACTGATGATTCCCCTCATGGGGACCTCCAATTTGTCCCCATAAGGGAAGCCAGTCCCCACACGTGACTATGTAAACAGATTTAGGTCCCCACAAGTATAGTAATGCTAGCACCACACACACACACACACACACACACTCAGCCAGCCTTATTTTTCTCAGCTGCAGCTCTGCGGATTTCTCAGCCTGGACTCAGTCTGAGACAGCGAGGCCCGGCCCGGGCCCGGTCCGAGCTCCGGCCGGGCCTCGCCGTGTCCGCCAACCCGCATACCCCACGCAGCAACCAGGAAACAACACCAGCAACCCAGCTTACACTGTCCGCTCCTCGCAGCAGCGAGCCGCGCAACGTCCCGCCAACACGGCACCCAGACCCCACGCAGCATTCTCATCTGTTTGTCATTACTGGTGTCATTTTCTGGTTGCTAACGCACGCCATTGTAACACATAATCACGGATGTTCCGCTGTAACGGTGGTGGACTCATCAGAACAGAGTGGGCGAGCTGACCAATCAGAGCACATTGGGCTCATAGGGAGGGGGGGGGGGGGGGGGGGGGGGGGGGCAGGAGCTACAACAAGCCGTTTAGGACAGAGATTGAATACACATGCTATACAGTAATACAGAGATGCTGTATGAGAAACCAATGTGAGTTTGGAACATTGAACAATGTAAATCTATTATAGTAGACCTCAACAATGGAATTATGATCAGTAGAAATGGCCATGACCTTAAAGTAGTGCTATTCCTTTAACTTGAATCAGGACATTGAAATGTAGCTGACTGGTTTTCAGCTATCATTACTTGTGTTATTTACACCTCTGCTTTTCTTGGCTACTGTGACATGTCAAGATTCTGTGAGAATGCCCCAGAGGAAATGTTAACGGTAGCAGGTGTTGTAGACTGCGTGAGGTGAATAAAGTGGTATATTTTTGGTTTATAGCTCTATATAATCTATTAAAGGCCCTGTTCTCCCTCTTCTGGAACAAAGTTTATGGACCAATACAAATCATAAAGGTGTCCCATCCTAAAAATGCGACAAAACATTCAGGAGATAATGACTGATGATTAAAATAAGTAAAAAACAAACAGCATTTGGAAGGGTTCCAAATCAGATGTGTCACCTATTTATTTCTCCTAGACACAAACTGCAGTAGATACAATCCTGCAAACACATACATAGTGTCAGGGAATAATTATATATGTATGTTTACCTTTTGCCCTCTGACACAGATGCCCAGCCTTGGGCAGCCACTATCTCCCTTAGGGGCTGCCCAAGCATTTTGTTGTTGTTACCAGTTTATGACCGGGCAACTTCGGTCAGAGATAGTTATTGTTGTGGGACACCTGGAACAAATCCTTCTTGGGGTGTAGATGACCCCGAGCCATAAGCGACAACACAATTGTGATTCAGTGGCCTCAGCTGTTTAGTCTATATATTGAAGAATGTTGATTATTACACTCTAAACTAGTTAAAACCTGGAACTACAGGAGGGTTCTTCAGAATTGATGTGGCATCTCAACCGTGGGGTCAACTCGTGGCCCGTGACCTGTCTTGTCAATTCTCCGGCCGAAGCTCCAAATAAACCGTCAGTGTTTGTCATCGAAGCTCCAGCTCTCCATCGCGTCTCTCTTTGAGTCCTGACTCCAATTGCTTCAGAAGTTTCCCCCACACATAGATATTAAAATATGTCTTGAACTGCAAATGTTTACTATGTTTTCATTTTCAATTAATTGAAAACACTCAAAAAAAACGAATTGCTTTTAACAATCCCTAATGAATACCGAAACCCTCTAGGCAGGCATTCTTTCAATTGTGTTAAAAAAATAAATGAACCCCTTGAGTCAACAATTCAGACTTAAGCTGACATATGCAAGAGTTAAACATTGCATAACATGCAATAAAACATGTTTAATGTCCGGAGTAGAGTTTTGTGCAAAGCTATTTATTTGGTTTTCCTTTGCTCCCGCTGCTTTACCTTCCCTGACGGCAGTGTAGGCGGGGGGGAATGATGAAAAACCACTCAGACAGGAGATTCAAAATGTGGACACACTGTGGTGCCGCAGGCCCACTCTCTGAAAATGATGGTGAGATTATAGAAGTCTTTACCCCCTGCCATCAGGAAATGATTTGCCCTGCTCCAGGAGAAGACCTACCACACACAATGAAGTGTTAGGTTGTGCCTGTATCCATGCACTTTTACAAAGTGTAACAAGGCAACTTCAGACTTTCACCTTTTAGCTTGACACCCTCAGAATTAAAAGCAATTTATATTCAGACTGAGATTTCGACACCCTTTTTCCGCCTGGAGCCTTCACACTTGCTGGTGTAGATATAGACTTCCTTACACGCTCTGCATCTGGCCTCTGTCTGTGTCTGAGAAAGAGAAGAACATTTAGAAATCTCTGCTGATGACTGCCCAGTAAACCATGTTACTTTCAGACAGAGGCAGGAGTAGATTTAAAAAAACTAAGAAAACTAAGAATAGACAATCATGTTCATCATTGCTCTCACTAAATTTGTCATGCCAGTTTTATTGTGTGCATTATGTTGCCCCCCGCCCACCTCAGCCCCAGTCACTTTGCATTATTTCTGCTGTGGCTTGATGAAAACAAATATGAGACCAGTAGGAGCTTGAGACCAAGCCAAGTGAGCCACCCAGGCTCCTGGGACTTCAGTGCCAAGATGATGTCACCACGTCCGCCTGTAGGCCTGAATTTTCATGCCGAAGCTCTAATGTGGTCAAGAACAAGGACATCACAACTCACCGTTAACGGGAGTTCATTATTTTCCTCTCCTTAGGAACTGTCACTAACACATTACCTGAAGGATGTTATTATATCAATGTGTTTCGCAAAGAATATTGGGTTGTCGATAGGATTTATATCTGTCATAGGATGCTACCAAATATGGTAATCTGATGGAATAAAACAATTAGCATTCTAATAACTTCTCATGTGTAAACATTTGTTAGTCATACAGAAAATATTTAATTAATTTGACTGTTGGTTGGACAAACCAAACATTTGTAGATATCTACTTTGGATTCTAACAGACATTTGTCACTTTTTAAAAGAAACAATGATAACAATACATTTCTAGTTTCTTCAGTTACAGTTTTTCTCAGTTTATTCCTAAAAAGTCCTCATTCTGTGAAAAAAGGTTGTATAATGTCTCCTGTTTCTCTGAGGTGAGCTTTCTACAGTCTGAGAATAACCCTGATGATGTCATAGTGACGTAATTTCCCTGGATTTTGAGTATGACCTAAGATTTTACAGAAATCCTTAGTTGCAATTACGGTTTTTAAAGATGTGGGCATTGAGACTCAACAGTTGTGTAAAGGATATTCAAAGGCTCAACATTTGTGTTAAGTTGTTGTTTTTTTTCCAAATTAGTTGTAATATCATAAAAACCTCCTCAAACTAATATGTATTAAAATCTGATTTAAGAGGCCAAAAGAAACCTCCCCCATCCTTAAAGGAATTAGAAATTAACCTCAGAATCATTCTGCACAGTAAATATTGAACAGTATTATATGTTCAGGACAAATGGCAAAATAAAAAAATGATACAAAATAAATAATGAAAAGGGACACCATCTGACAGTTGTTATTTTTTAAAACAGTGGCGCTTTTATAATTCATTCAAACAGCTTCTACAAATGTTGTGTATAGTGACAAGTGAGTGCTTACAGAAAATAAAATCACAGACTTAGTATTTACAGAGAGCCGCTTCAAGTGTAAGAAAATACAGTGTTACAGTATATATTTATAAAGTCTGTTGATTCTGTTCCCATTACAAATGGATTGTCAAATACATCCCGTGACATCTTAATTATACATATCATCAACATGCAATCATATTACATATTATGTAAATATCAGCTCATTCATGTTGGGTATTGTAGTCCATCCAATAATTTTGCACATTTATCATTGGGGACAGGGCTGGCATTTGTGCTAAAAATCGAGGTCTTAAACTGCAAATAAACGGTTTTAAGAATGTGCAGCTGTTTACTTTTTTCTGCTCTTCATTTTGTTTTATTCATAATGTATACTATCAACCAAAATGTCTTATTTGGATATCATCATAGGGTATAAAATACAATCAAATAAAATCTCATATATACTAGATCGAGTCATTTGCCTGATATTGCTGATGATGACCAAAAAAAAAAAAAAAGTTTAGCTAGTTTTTTGCCCCAAACTGGGATCACTGTTGAGGCCCTTAAAACTTAAAATAAACGTTACTGCATTGTGCAGCAACTCTAAGGTATCACCTTCATGTTTGTAATGTTTCTGAGTGAAACCGAAAGAAATTGCACATTCAAACCCTTCCCACTAAACCACATTTGTCAGTGCATGTTGTGTCAATAATGTAAGTCGGTGTTAGGAGCAAACAGAGCATGTCACACCACTGAACTGTAGTGGTGGGTGCTGGGAAACTAATCTCACAGTAAATTGAATCGGGACCCCCCCGGTGTGCCTTCGCCTGTTTCTACTCACTCCCCCACTTATTGTTCCCCGCGTCTGTCCTCTGTTAGGACATAAGTATCTTGGTTGCATAAAGCAGAATCCCACCCAGACTAGTAGTGGCAGCGATAGCGATGACCCTCACTAAGAGGAAGTCCATGGAGTCCTCCAGCCGTGTGTGCAGTCGCAGGACCTGCCTGTGGGTGTCCTCTCGGCTGCCGGAGTTCTCCACAACGTGATTGGCCAGGCCGCGCTTTTCATTGAGCGGCATCTGTGCGGCAACACGCTGCTCCGCATGCTCCTGTGTCAGGCCGTCCCTCTGCATCAGGCGCAGCAGCTGAGTGGCAGGGTCACTGAGAGGGAACAGACAATGGAGGTTATTTATGGAGCAGCCAGGGTGCCTTGTTAAAAAAAATCCAGAGGCAGTGAGTCATGCTAATAAATGTCATACAGAGGGTAAGAGAGAGGTAACCAAAAACTCACAAAACTGGGCTTAATGGCCAGTTTCTGTCAAAAACAAACATCGACATATTTTAAGATTTTGATGAGAGAAACCTGTAAATAATGAGTCATGTAAAATAATGGGGAAGTTAGCAGTGGGCTTACCAGTAGACTACTACAGTGTGGTTGAGAAACTTAGTGAGACGTCTTGTTTCGAACAGAAGGGGCACATCCAGCACGACGTAGCGGTATCCTGTGGAAACAAAAGAGGAATCATTTTTAAAAAGTGCCTCAAAACATTTACACTATAACATTATGAAATACAAGTAGCAAATTTCTTAACTTTTTAACAACATACACAGTGGCTGGATCCACCATCACGTTTAACCTCGTAAAAAATATTGGTAATATTCTAAAATGTTGGCATTATTTGGCGTGTAGTGAGAAATTCATACAGCTTTGTGACAATCGGCGCTCCACATCAAAACAGCCATAGCTCCCTTTCAGTAGATTGTAACTCAGACACACTCAGCCTCACCTCTGAGAAAGTACAACAGGATCTCTTTGAGCATCGCTTTATGGATCTCCGGGTGGGTGATGGAGTTCAGCAGCTTCCTCTTCTCCTCGTCGGCGAAGATGAGCTGACCGAGCTTCTGCCGGTCGATCTCGCCATTCTCGAGGAGGATCTCCGGTCCAAAGTGGTAAACGATGCGGGAATAGGCCGGAGTGTGCTGCTCCACAACTTGTATCAAGAAAAGAACATCTTAATTAAAGGTCCCCTATTATACTGTTTTCTATCAATATATTATAGGTCTCAGATATATACAAACATGTCTCTGAAGTGTTTGGCTCCAAATACCAAACAGATCATTGTAGCATCCCATAATCCCCTCTGTTTCAAAAGTGCTGATTCTCTGTCTTATACTTTAGATGAAAATAAGGAGCCACTCCCAACGCTAGGGGGAGATTCAGGTGATAAGGTGGGCGGGTGTTACCTTGGTTGGTTATTGGCTGATGGTTACACAAGCCAAAAAATCGTTATGACATCATATAGAAATCAATCAAGACAAAAAGTGAGCAAATCTTTTTTCCTGAAACTTTCAGAATCTCTTTACACAGAGGGGACACATGTTTATGTATAAAAGACATGACACAGTTGCATAATAGGTGACCTTTAACACAGTGTCAAAAATAAGAACATATACCATTTTGCACTAACTAAGAAAAGTAGTACACACAGAAGAATACACAGAAAAAGATACATAGAGGGGAAAAGGGGGATTAGAAAATATTGTAATCGATTTAATAACAATCACCAGAGTGCATTTCAATCTTTATTCTATTATTTCCTACATGCAGCTGGGACATTTCCCCTAGTTCTGTAGCCTTTTATCTTCACCAGATAACTACTAGATCATCCTTGCAGTAAACAGAGACGGCCGTCATGATTCATGCACTCTCTCCAAGCGTTTGTCTTAATGAACCTCCTACAGGCTCAACCTCTTCATGTCCATTTCAGTATAATAATAAACGTTATGAGTCAGTGATGTGGGACATATGGGTGAATCCATATTACCACATGTGAGTTAATTTGAGTTATCCTGGATGACAATGTTGACTAGTTATTCTAACTCTTGACTTGAAATCTTAATATTTGCAGGAGAGATTTCCACGTACCTTTCCTTGCTACAACATCAGCGTCAATAATGGGACACCCGAGCTCCCGCAGCATCGTAGACACTGCACTTTTCCCTGAGGAAATACCTCCCGTCAGTCCCACCAGGAACATCTTGAGGCAAAGACACAGGAAGTTTAACCAGGGAGTAATGTCACTAAAGTAATACAAGGGTTACTGTAGCTGTATGGTGACTCTGAGAAGCTGATTCAAAAAACTTGTAGATTGGAAATGTCAATTGTTTTTAAGTATAAAATCATGGCTAAAAGAGAAACAGCATTGTTCTCAAACCCAATACCACAATGTATTGGGCATATTTGTGGATGGGTTTTATCTTCTTTTTGATCCATTTAAACTTGTGAAAATAACCGAGTATTGTTAAGTTTTACAAATAACTGTCAGCATGTTAGTATTTTAACTTTCATGTAAAGTTCATACCAAATAAAAAAAGTTTTTGTAAATCAGGGCAATGCAAAAAAAAAGACATTATAATTAAAAGGAATAAAAGCGTGTATATATTATGTGTTTGTCCACATACAGTAGAGCCAATATAAAGGGTAATACAATCTAAGAAAGATGATAGACATATACAGATGTTTCGAATACATTTCTGGAAATATCCAGGTGTTGCTTGCTATTTATAATGAGTATATTAAGCCTGATGCTGCTATGAGGACAACACGCCCCCTGCTGTGGAGAGGCTGAGCTGCACTCAGTTTGTGCACAAATTAGATAACAAGCAAACTAAAGTTAGTTAGACAGCTTTAAAGTTATTCTTGACTCAACACCAAAATAAACCCAGACCAGACTCTACAGCTCCTTTATTATGCAACCAATTTATTTGAGAGAATGACCGGTTAACAGTTATTAAAGTTATTTTGTTAGTTAACCACCAAACCCTTGTTGTATATTCACCTTGTAAACGTGTGCTTCTTCTTAATTCGGCTGAATGTACTTTGGGATGTCCTGCAGAGTCACAGCGGTGTAGTAAACAACCAGGATTGCTAACAAGCTAACGTTAGCACAAGTCTTTATCAGGTGAGAGCGACTACACATCTGCAATACCACAAACCAGCAGCCATCTCCACTCCGCCCTTTCAGATATGCCGTCAGAAAACAATGTCGAGCACAGTCGTGTCGCTAGATATTGCTGTCTGTAACTCTGATTGCACTCAACTGATTGCTAACGACCTAGCTTCTTGGCTTGACAAGCGCCACCTCGAAAGTCTTCCGACTTTGCCGACGTACGTTGGTTCCGCTTAGGTAATTGCAAATTCCCATTTACAACTTGAGGTCGGACCACTGCGTTCAATAACACATTTGAAAACAAATATCAGCGATAAACAATTTCTCCAAAACGTGTTTATTTCAAAGCAAAAATATTTGCATGAATGAAAATGTAATAACACCGTTTTTAAGAAATTAAAAAGGGAAAAAAAACACATTTTGTTTTCGAATTAAAATGTATATACAATGCTTGCAGAAACAACAATTACAAATTATATATTGGCAAATTGATTCTCCTGTGAGAATATATTAATCTTCTGCTTTTTCATCTGTACTTTGTTTTGGTGATGACATCTCTGATGAAACAGGCAGACTAGGGGAACTGTGGGAATGTTTGGACTTTTTCCCTCTGTGCACCGTTTCACCTCCATTCTCCCCTTCCTCCCGCTCCAGCCTGCCTCTTTTGACAAAATGGTTTATCCTGGACTCCAGGCTCTCGCAGCACGGACGCTCGAGCAGGGGCCGGTAGTTTCTCTGCTTGCTGCCTTCTACTAGACAGCAGGCATTGGAGGACACTCCACCTGTAAATAGAGACGAGTGAAACAATTTAAACAAATATTTGAATGTGTAGGCCTATATACACTATACTGTGTCTAAGCAAAGTATTCTATCAAGCAAACTTTATTTGTAAAGCACCTTTTGTACCGTTTAGTGCAGTTCAAAGTGTTAATAATTATTCTCACTGTGGAGTCTAATATCCTTTTTGTACTCCTGCCAATTAACTTATTGAATTTAGCATTTTCCTTTTTTTACTACACTTTTATTTATTTATTTACCTTTGTGGTAAGTTTGACCTTTTTTATCCTGTGTATCATACTTATTACTGTTGCTGCTGTGACATATTTTCCCTACAGGGATCAATAAAAGGTTGAACTTATCTTAAATAATAAAACTAAAAGATGTTATTGGGACACAGACAAATATTTCAACAAAAGAGTAACAGTATATGTTTTTCTGTATGTAAACGTCTATTGTTAATGTGTGAATATTGGCCTGGAGTGACATTCGATTCCTAAATTATTATCCCAGTCTGGCCCTGCAGAGGTGTATTTTGACATAATTAAAAATGTTGAGGTGTGTTCATCTCTTTGAACATCTCACCTGCGGCCTCCAAACCCTGGATCATCCCGTGCAGGACGTGGCTCCGGACTGTGCTCTGGGTCCAGTGCTGTTGAAGCTCAGACAGGACGTGGCTCACCTCTTCAATGTCCTGTTCCCAGGCCAGACCTTGAAAGTGGCAGTCGTGCAGAACCAGCGGGTAGTCTACTGCCATACTAGAGACAAATGACAAAAGAAACATTCATACAGATGCAAATGTAGTTTTACCATATTGTTTTTTACTATGGATTTGTACACAAACACACCTGTATTGTGGCTTCCTGGGGTTACTCTGAACATCCATGAGCTTATCAATTAGCTCCGGGTCTTCCAGTTTCTGCCCTATCAGGAGAAGGAGTGCCATCATGCATCGTACCTGCATGAAACACAACATGGAGTTCACCCAGACTGCAAATGTCACAAATCACCAATATATATATCAATATGACGGCTTGAAATTAAACATTTTAAGGAAACAAAAATCACTGATCAGTGTGTCTTCATACCTGATGGTACAGGAAGGCCAATCCTTTTATTTCAAATATGAATACATCATATGGGCCAGTGCTGGAGATGTCCTGAGGCTGCACAGGCTTTACTGATGCAGACAAGATGGTCCGCTCAAATTGAAGGACTCCATTTCCCACGTCCATTTTGCACAGGTTGCGAAAGTCATGAGTTCCCTCGTATCTGTCGGGGTTAACAAACCATCAAATCAGAACTGTGACATTGATGGGTAACATCAGCATTCATCATTTTGTGTCTTCACCCACCTTTTTGCAGCCTCTGCCATCAGTGTCACATCCAAAGATCCGCGGGGGAAGTAGTACCGGTACGTGCGAGACTTACAGTCAAAGCGAGCGCTGAAGCCCTCTGCAGCTGGAGACCAGTCCAAGATCCTAATGTCCTGAGGCAGGACTCTGTTCAGCATCTTCACATAGGGAACCTCACTGCCAGTAGCTTTGTTCTTGATGCTAACATCAACATGTTCAGGAACTGAGATGCCCAGTCCTCCACAAAACTGTGTGGAGCGCAAATCGATTGTTATGACCTGTGGAGGAATAAAACAGTTGAAGTCAAAATCTAAAATTAAACATTTTCCTACCTTACCTGTAGTGCTATTAATAAAGCTAGAATCTTTTAATATGTGTTTATGAGTATATCAGAATGATATGTCATGGCACATGGGTTGAGGTGCTTAGGGGGAAAAAAATAATAGTGAAAAAAACTATTATCTTGAGAAACAGAATCATGAATCCTAGACACAGCTGTTTAATTCAAATGTATTTCTTTGGTACTTTGAGCAGTAACTCTAGATTGAAAAATAGCACTACAAAGAAAAGGAAAAATGTCTCTTACGTTTATGCAGCTATAATATTGTTGTCATCATATTTTGGGCACAGAACTAGAGCACCATTCATATTAATGGCATATTTTCTCACCATATTGTTACATTAATCCAATTTAGATGATGAGTACTTTGAGAACTCACTTGGGAAAAGGCACTGACTCCTTTATCAGTGCGACCACACCGGTGGTAGTTGGAGCTCTGTCTGTCCTGGATCAGCCTTGTCTTCAGCAAAGCTTCAAAGAGTCTGGCCTCCACGGTGTTGTCAGTGTTATCCTGAACTGCAAACCCTTGGTAGGACCATCCCAGGTAAGCCAGCCGCAGAGCCACATGTCGCCGAGGGTGTGCAGAGAAGTCGAAAGGACGCTCTTTGGCTACTTTCTTACCCTTTTTACAGCTGCTGGTGTTAACATCAGGTTTGGAGTCAGTGTTTTCATGAGTGGATGGATTGGACGTCAGCTCTGAATCCTCTCCAGCTTGACTTCTCTCCTTCAGCTCGGACCTGAGCTTCCCCCATTCTTCCTCCAGCTCCTTTATTCTCCTGGTTAAAGCCTTGGACATGCTGCTCAGCAATATAGTCGAGAAGAGAGACCATTGAGAAGGGTAACTAATAATTTTACAATTATCTCAATCACTATCATCTCATATATACTTACTAAGCAACTTGTTTTATTATAAATATGTTAACCTGTGTAAATCCAGTCAAGCAGTAGCCTATAGTTCGTGGTTGGGTTTTATAACACAATATTCATCCAGACAGCTCATTTAGCTTAAGTCCAAACGCTACACACAGTCTGTTAGCTTAGCTTGTGTGGTATGGTACATAGCATATATTAAGACTGGTAGTGGGAATACATTATATTACAATAAAACTATTTATTTACCTTTGATTGTGGTTTCAATGTTGTTGTTAAATTAGATTTTTCCTCTCTGCGTGCTGCTGGCGCGCACGTTACTTTTCGAGCTGATAGCAGTGACGGATTGATTTTGAGAGCGGACGCATTTCCTGTTGTGGGTTTCTGGAAAATGTAGTGTACTTCTAAATTGCCTCTGCCTAGTGCAAAGCGATTAGATCCTTTGATTGAGAACATTGCTTTTCCTAAATTATTTATAATTATGAGATTATTTTACCTTTTCAGTCATAACAAAAAGATCGCAAGAGCATCATGGTGAGCACATTTAACATCTCTATGTTAAATAATCTGTTACTTGATTACTTAGTTTTGATATGTCTGTAAAAATGAATGTTCAGTATTGGCCTTCGTAGAGCTGAGTGAGTGACGCAGAATTGTTGTTGAAATATTGAACATTTGTCAAAAGTTAAAAACTTTAAAGATGTCAAATCAGTTGTCAAACATAAATGAAATCCTCCAACAAGAGTGTATCACACATTTATTAGATGTATTCTTAGTAGCAGGACAATTAAATATGAGACTATTATAGAGTGGTGTTTTCGATGGCATAGACCAAACCATTCCATTTAGATATATTTTGTTAAAATAGTCAAATTTTACAAGTGCAAAAAAAGCAGTCATTCAGTTGTTTTCAAACATATCAATTACAGAATCATCTTTAAGTCCAATTATAGGATAAAAAGACTGGATAAAGCAAATAGAATAGTTCCAATATGTCAGCAATGTGTGAAGTCTGCTGTGCTTGGCCACGATGACACATCAGCTCATGTTGTCATAGTCTTTCCGTTTTATGTTGCAACTGAAGTAAGCCCCGATGAATACTCCAAAACACTGTAACAGGTACAAATGTTATAAGTTACTGGAAGCAAATGAACTCAAGACAGGTCAGCAAAAGTTATTTTCTCTCTCCATAAATTCTAATTAATTCTGGATTTCACCACCTTGGGCAGACAGGTTGAGATAGGCTTCATTATCATTCATGCCATCATTTTACAAATGTCCGCATTACCATAACTTATTGATGTTCTCTCATTCAAATTGTTTAAATATGTTTTCCTATGTAATTTAATAAATAACTAAATCATACGACGAATTACACGTTATTTTTATTTTTTTACAGATATGTTGATTGCATTTTTTTATTTATAAGGAATGTGTTTACCTCTGCAATTGCAAGAAATATACAGATAACTCCCACCGCCATCAGTCTTTTCCCCAGAAATAAGTTGATGGCCTTAATGCAACCCTGAAAAGGACACACGAAATATAAATAAAATACTTACTTGTTCACAAAAATGAATTCAAATGACTATGCACTTGAAATAAGATTTCCCAGTAGACCTTTTTGTGAGCTTTGTCCTTTTCTTTCCCACAGCCGGCACCCTTCTCCACGCAGCAGGAGTCCGGCGTAGCTTCGTGGTCCTCCCAGCCCACACTGGTGGCCCAGTCGTCGGGGCCGTCTGCTCCACAGCATTTGAACTGTAACATGGTTTTATCATACATGAAAAAGTCACCAAGGTAACCTGGTGATCTGTGTGTTCATGATGCAGTGTAAAACCTGTTCGATGGACACACAGGCATGTTTGCTTTCTTTAAAAAAAAACACAAGAGTTTCTTGGACTTCTAAGAAAAGCTGGTATACCACTACTGTCATGTGTGCACAATAAACGAAAATTGTATTTAGAAATACTTTTTAGGAGAGAGGTTTATTATGTAGCTGAGCTTCTTATTGTTACTCATTGTTATAATTTGTACAGAATTGCATCCAAAATTGAATATGTGAATGTACTGTAGGCCTGTAAAACTCTTTCTTTTACAGTGAAGTTAACATCTGGCATTACATTTAATACATTCACTTTCACAATGCAAAGTCAATTAAAACAATCTAAGTCTTATTGGTATCTATTACATACGCAGTTCACAAAGAGAGCTGAGAAAACAGATGGCTTAATAAGAGCTTACAATATTTTTTGGGATGATTAGGCCTTTTGCAAATATCTCTGTGCGTTACCTTTTCCTGAATTCTGTCGATGGCAGCTCTCTTCTCCGGGCTGTACTCACTGATCACCATTTTGATTTTGTCCATGTAGTTTACTGAACCTTTTATGTTCACTAGGGCAGAAGGATTCAAGATCATCTTGTTGAAGAATGTGTAAACGATAGCTCCAGTGATTATCTCCATTAGGATAATGATGATCAGGCAACAGAGGAACTAGTTCATAAGAGAAACCGAGTGAGCAGAGTTAGAGTTCAGTCTTGTCACATATGCTTAAAATAATATATGTATAAATATATGTATATATATTGATCAGCCTTGCCCTATTTGTCCCACAGGCACAGTTTTTTTAATAAAATGTATGAGGAGACATTTACATTATGTAGTGTTGTGTTACTCACAGATACCACCAAATAAAAATTATCAAAGAATGCTCCGAGACAGCCCAAGATGGAGACCACTGTAATGATGGAACCCACTGCTATGAGGACTATAGCAATTTTGGTAAGGGTTTTCCCTGTGAATTCTCCCAACTCTTGGAAAGTGGGGTTGTGCAGTACTCCGATAGTGAGGAGAGCAACCCCAGATGCCTGAAAAGCAAATGCAACAAAAGGACATTAGAACAGTGGGCTTTAAATAGTCAAATAAAACCCAATGAACCCTGTTCTGCTGTTGATTTAAAGTACTGCCAACATACTGTAGTGTGAAACTAAATCATTGTAAAGAGGAAGATCTTGTCTAACTCTGTCTTCAAGATTATGGTATAGGACATTGTTAACATAGTTGGATTAATCCAAAGTACAAATCACTCTTATTAATACAATTCTGTAAAGCAGTTTAGAATAAAGTTTTATTCAATTTTACTGCCACTAACACTTTTACTACAGATACAAATATACAATTGTATATTGATCCATTCTTTGTTATCTATCATTGCTGTAATCAACACTTTCATTTATAGACAGAATTACCAAAATGACTTACCATAAAGATCATGTTGAAGAAAATAAATCCGCATTTGAAGCTGCAAAACGTGCACATTGTGAGGACTTGTTGAAACTGTACTGTAATGAAAAGAAGACAGAGGACAGAGAGAAAGGAGCAGACGTCCCTCAGTGTGTGTGTGAAGAGATACAGACTTTACACCTAGATGTAAGTCGTGAGTGTGTGGTGTGACCTTATGAAAATGAACCTGCACCCTGATAACATGTAAATTGATATATCACATGGAAACATTCAGCGAGGTCCCTGTTAGACGATTTGAATAGTAGCGTTTATGAAGTACCATAGAATGTGATTAGCTCAATATCAGGTAGAAGCCTCTATATGGCTTTTTGTAGGAATATATAATGTCAATATTGGCCTTGGCTTTAGTGTCATGACTTTCATTTGTAACACTACATACCAGACTTCAAAATTCGAAATGGTTAAAACTAAATTTTAAGCTTAGCATCAATAGAGAGGCCTTGTGACGTGTTCAAAAACTTGGAATAACAGCTTGTTTGGTCACACGTCTATTTTAACCTATTTAAAAACTGTGGGAAGCCTTTTCTTTTTCTGTTCTATGCTTATCACGGTCCTGTCTTTCCTACTGCAAGTCAATTGTTTAGAAGAAAATGGCAAGGGCGTTACGTTTTGTAATTTTACAAATGTAAAAACATCTGACCAATTCTTACTTTTAATTAAAAAATAAAACACCATTATTGTATCTTATTAGGTATTTGGTCACTAGTACATTTTATTAGCTCTGTCAGTAAATCCCACATAGCATTTTGACAAACATATACAAAAATAACAAGAGATTTTGAGTCTTTATTCGCAACGAAACAGAAATGCAGTTTCTTTCTGTCACAGTTTGAAGTGTCTGAGCACTTGGAGCCGTCTGACTACTGGAACTTGCTTCAGGGTTCCTCCCATCCCTTTTGAGGACCAAACTCTTCCCCAGAGCTTCTCCAGCAACATATGGAGCAGCTGCAGGAAGCCTGACCCGACTCCATCAGCTGGAAGAGGAGCGAGGCCTCTGGCTGCAGCACAATAATCTTTGTCACAGTAGAAGGAGCAGCCGGGATGCTTGACACTCTGCCAGTGTCCTTCCTTTTTCAAATCTCTTTCTATCCATTCATGTCTTTTTCTGTGTCCATCTCCTTCTTCTGCTTTCTTAGAGCTCAAGCCAGCGTGCATCAGGCTGTGAAGGACCATGCTGCTTTCCTATTTCAGACAAAACATCAGAAATGACTGTCCCCATTAACCACTGAATGCAGTTTCTTTCGATGTATGTGAGGAATAGATTATGTCAAACATGGCTCAATTGTGAGTCACAAGGCTTTACCTTTTTATAATAATACATACAGATACTAGTCTATCTGTTAGAGGACAAGTCATGTATGTGCGCACATGGAGGTGTGGTTTTATCTTTCTTCTGCTCATTACTGCCTCTCTGTCCACGAAGCCTTATCCGTAACTTCTTATTTGCCTGCAAAGAAATGTAGGCTCAAGAGATAAAACATATTTTGGATTTCTGCAGTTGAGTGTGCATCAGGCACCAGCTCATCTTAAAAGCGCACATTTTGATATGTTCAAAGTTTAATTGAGGACTTTCTCTCCCGTACGGCAGTCAATGTTCGTTGACAGACTTGTTCATTTCTGCAATGCGAGGCATGCTACCACAGGAGGGCCCCATTCCACTTTTTTATAAAAATGTGTTCAACATTTGGGTGTAATGGATTGATGGCTTGTGTTTAAAGAAGTTTGTGGGAACAGGATAACACAGAGCCTGCTTGTCTTTGAAGGACTTCATGGGAACAGGAAGTAAAATGATTACCATAGTTGGAGCACTCAGTCGCAGAGAGAACATTGTGCTGCCCACTCTTTGCTTTTTCCTGTTTTGAATTCCACAAGACTTGGTCAAAACCTTGCACGATTTCCGTCTGATAAGGATAATTGTTGAGGAAAGAGGTGGGGTTGTGGGCCTGCATAAAATACAAGTGCTTTGTGCAATAAGTGCATTATTCTATTGTTGAAAGGTCCATATATGGTTACAAAAACTGTCCCACTGAATGTACTTACTTATATTATTCTGTGTTATCTTTTTACCTTATATGGGTATTTCTAAAGAATGTGCCCAAGCTTAGTGGACCTGTACTCAGTGTACATAGTTTTCAAGGGTGATGTCATGTGTTTTGAAGTTATTTTATTTATTATCCCCAAAACACATGACAAATGTCCCATTTACAGTGTACAATTTGGGACTTTCGGGGAAAAGGAAAGACAAACTAATAACAGGAAATAAATGAATGTGAAATGTGCAAGAAGTCTTGATGTACCAACAATTAGCTTTTGTTATTAATAATCATGACGGAGAAAACAATAACAACACAACTAATGCTAAATCAGTTAAGAATACTTTCCGCAGCAAAGGAATTGATGTGGTTATGCTACCCCAACATATATTACATATAATAAAATGTATCCAGCAAAACAATTATTTACCTAACCATCTTGAATGTAAGTATAGAAGGAAAATAAACACAATTTGTTGGCAATGCATACTCTCTGGCAGTCTGCGGAACAAAACATTTTAGATTACTAATAAGTAAAAATATATGTTCTGTCTAACATCAGTCTTATGTATTCCTTGAACCTCATGAGTGTAAACTGTTTGTGCATGTGTGTTTGTGTTTAAAGCAACATTTGTCATTTGTCTTTGTATTGGAGTGAGTAGAGTGAGTCTGTACATCAGTAAACAGTTAAGCTTTGCTCAGTGTCTGGTCCATCTATCAACATGCTTTCAGAGCGGGGGGACATGTTTGTAGTATTAAGTAAATTATGTGCCTCCCATATGGTTCTAATTACACATACCAGTCCATGTGACTGTTTCCCGACATTCCTGCACTGCCCACCATTTAAAACCACAAGATAGCAGCTCATGTTTGAGGTCGGCTTTTAAGGAAAATATTATGCAACCGTTGTTATTGTTGATGCAGCATTGTGTTAAGTGTGTAGCTACAATAGACAATTGTCTGTCTTAATAACTATCAGCCACAAAAGCATCAGTTTTTGATTCCACATTTCCATGCTAAACTGTGTCAGCATTTGTGGTTTATTATCAGAATACGTTCACAGTCCTATCTCTGAACACGTGCTGTATCAAGTTTTTATTTTACTTTCACTTTAGATAAACAGGAAAAAACACACAAAACCCTCCCCCCCAGCCTCAAGAACACAACATTTCTGGCAAAAAAAAAGAAACTAAACAAATTGTATATGTTAACAAAAAAGTAATTACAGACAAATATATGTATAACACATTAAAACAAAATGAAATCTTAAACACACACTTACTGTTACTGTTGTCTACATGTACATTATTGATCCCATAAAGTAGATATTTTCGAACAAAACTACACTGAACAAAAATATAAACGCAACACTTTTGTTTTTGCTCCCATTTTTCATGAGATGAACTCAAAGATCTAAAACATTTTCTATTTACACAAAATAACCATTTCTCTCAAATATTGTTCACAAATCTGAAAAAATCTGTGATAGTGAGCACTTCTCCTTTGCCGAGATAATCCATCCCACCTCACAGGTGTGGCATATCAAGATGCTGATTAGACAGCATGATTATTGCACAGGTGTGCCTTAGGCTGGCCACAATAAAAGGCCACTCTGAAACGTGCATTTTTGCTTTATTGGGGGGGGTCTGGGGGGGTCCGAAAACCAGTCAGTATCTGGTGTGAGGGGTAGGGTTAGGGGTAGGGTTAGGGTTAGGGTAATGTTGTGAATTGAGTGGCCCATGGTGGTGTTGGGGTTATGGTATGGGCAGACGTATGTTATGGACGACGAACACAGGCCACTCGATTCACAACATTACCCTAACCCTAATCCTACCCCTCACACCAGATACTGACTGGTTTTCGGACCCCCCCAGACCCCCCCAATAAAGCAAAAATGCACGTTTCAGAGTGGCCTTTTATTGTGGCCAGCCTAAGGCACACCTGTGCAATAATCATGCTGTCTAATCAGCATCTTGATATGCCACACCTGTGAGGTGGGATGGATTATCTCGGCAAAGGAGAAGTGCTCACTATCACAGATGTTTTCAGATTTGTGAACAATATTTGAGAGAAATGGTTATTTTGTGTAAATAGAAAATGTTTTAGATCTTTGAGTTCATCTCAGTGTAGTTAAAAAATCAGCAATGATCCTAGATGATATAAATTTGTATTCACATGATCTAAAAAATAAAACATTTAAGTCAGTGAAATAATTTTCTAGAATAGTGAAAGAGACAAAGTGTCTTTAATAGCTTTAAACATGGAGAACATAGATAATATAAACTAGATCCTACCAGGCAACAAAAGGTAACATGAGAGCACCTTGGAGACACACCCAACCAGCAGCTACCTATTACCATATCAATATAAATCAAGGCGTCGCATTTAGAAGTAGAGCTTTCTATGTGTGGTCACATGGTTGATGGTTCCTTTTTCATTCAAAGAAACCCAACCCCCGGAAGTCCCCGGCTTTAAAGAATAACCTCAATGATTCTTTACATGTTGTGCACAGGCAGCAGAGTAAACACAGACAGAAAGCCGTCCTACAGGCTCTTCTTGATTCCTGCGGTGGCTCTGGCAGCGCTACTCATAGCCCCAGTTTAACTCCCGTGTTTACAGGGAATAGGTGTTTACAGGTGGGAAATGGCCAACAGAAGTTGAGAGGGGAAGCAGTATATGAATATAACCAGGTAAAAATGCTTTTTTAAAACGTCTTTTGTGTTTCTTCTATCCTTTTAAAGCACTGTTTTTCTCCAGCTTGAATGTTTTGCCTCTCCCACACATTTCCTACTCATGTTTTCTATCACTTGTGTCTTTCTCCCTCTGTGTGCGCAGAGGGACAGTGTGGGCTGGACATGTGTGTTTTTAATTGGCCTTCCACTTCCAGATAAAAAGGGCTGTGTCCTGTGTATCGGGGGGCTGAGGGTGGGTAGAGATTGCAGAGGCAGCCTGTATGCAGAGGCTCTTTGTGAAAACATTCAACACATCAGCTTCACACTATACTTAAAAACGGACACCATAAGCAAGAGAGGGGCCTGACTGATGAGTGATCTGAAACTTCTCTGGTTATCATTTCTACCTAGAGATGGATAAGGATGGGGGAAAGCCAAAGACCTTTGTGTCTACTTTCAAGCTGGCCCTGAAGCCTCAAGCCAGGACTTTCTGTGTGGAGAAACAGAAAGAGAATGGACTGGATACCAGTAACACGAAGATAACAGGAACTCACAAGCTTGGGATCCCATCTGCAACAGGTAAGACTTATTTTTACATTATATTACATGTTAGACGCTTTTATCCAAAGCGATTTACATGCTCAATACTGTGGGCAATCCCCACAGGGTGAAGTGTCTTGCCCAGGGACACAATGACATGCTGACTGCAGTGAGGTTTGAACCTGTGACCCCTGATCACCAACGTACTAGTCCACTACGCCACAGCCTCCCTGTATTATTTCACTGCATGTCATGTAAAACAGTGCTGCCATAGCCAATTCTCCCAGGTTTTATCACTCCCTCCATTCCTTCAGTTCGTACAGAATCTGTTAAAAATACATTCTCCTATTCTGCCCCTTCAACTTTGAACACATTTCAGCGAGAGGGGAAGCTGCCAAAAAAATGTATTTCCCTAGGGGATTTTAAACTTTAAAAGAGGTCTGTAGAGAGCGCCCGTGCGTGGGTTTGCAGTTGTCCATAGTTCTTAAACGATCACTTTTGCACTTATCAATTGATTTTAATACTATAATGTGTATTAAAGTTAAATAAATGAAATGTACCACGTCACATTTCGTCCTGCAGACCCTGCAGGCATTTCATATTGAAACTTGAACTTCTGTTCCTTTGTACGAGGGCAAATAGGAACTGTTATATTACACATGTTTGATATTGTAACGTTCCCCAAGATGAGTCGGAGACAGGCTTGTAGTTATTAGGCTTTAATAACTAGTAATTGAAGACAGATGATAACAGGTCAAGTATACTTCGTGGGTTCTACCGCACACTAACTTATTTCCTAAACCAACCACAAGATATAGCACTGTCTACGTCACAACTCCCCGCCCTCCCCCGTCCGCTCTACCAACCACAGGACCGCACCTCAGCCACAATCACGGTGCAGCTCTATGATTGGCAGAGAGACGGGGGATGCCTAAGTGACACCCTGAGTAGCCTATCAGGATCGCTACACTATGTTCAGCTCCACTGGGGAAAGTTTGCCACTTTAAGGGTGCAGCTCTCTATATATAGCAGGATATTGTGAAGTGCAAAGTTAGGCTATCAGAAATGTCCTCAGGAGTTTAAAGGAGTGACATGCAGCCTGCCCGTCCCATTTTCTCCCCCAAATGTAAACACACTGAACACCAAAACACGTGTGCAAATACACATCTGGTCGGAAAATCTTGTCAAATTCCTCATGCTGGTACCCACAGCTGTGACCCTTTCCAGTGGATTCAGCCACAAGTGACTGATTAACTTAGCTGCTCTGCCTGGAGGTAACATGAATACTATACACCAACATCAGTCTATAGTTTTTGACTACATTTGCATCCACACGGGGCATTTAAAGTTCATCTATGATTCAATCAGTTTGTTATGAACTGATTGAATCTAAATCGTACTTCAAACCAAAACTCACTTGACAAAAGGTATATTTCTCAAAGTAAAGTCTCAAGAGTCAAAAAGCCCAGGTTCTCACGACATGAAACATAACTAACTGACATGGGACAAAGAAAAGGGCTATTTATAGGTGAGGAGGATGGGCACAGGTGAAAACTATCAGGGCAGGGCCAAGCAATCCCAAGGGCAGGAAACACACAAAGGCAGGAAATGTGGGATCTGGAATGAGAGGGAATGATTACTTTCTAAATAAAAACAGGAAGTGACAAGATCAAAACACAAGAGTAAAAAACATAGCTTAACCTAACATAACTGTCGAGTCACAACCTATGGTCACTCACAACACAGTTGCATCATGCCTGCAGTGGAAAGGCCCATAACTCTTCACAATGTAGTTGCATTCCTCTTTGCCACTTTATTTTGGTTAAGATGTGCAATCTAATGCAATACAATGCAACATGTCAGCCATAAATTATACCTTGACAAAGTTTGTAATGTTAGGTTGTTGACATTGTTAAGCCTATATAAAGGCAATTATGTTTAATATTACGGTTTTAGTTTGCAATGATCTTGTATTGGACGACATTATATTTAGAAGTGTTTCACATTTTTTGTCCCCCCTATTTATGTACATGAGGGGGATGAATATCAGAAACAATTTTTGATATGATGCCAAAACCTATAATTGCAAAAAACATTGTAGGTATCATGGTAAACTTCAAGGCAGCACAGTTGTTTTGGATTATACTAAATTGTCCAGGTCACGGAGTTTATGCAATGCATTAATATATGTAAATTAGATTTGATTTGATTTGATATACTTTATTAATCCCCGTGGGGAAATTGTTTCTCTGCATTTGACCCATCCTAGTGTTAGGAACAGTGTGCTGCCATTTTGAACGGCGCCCGGGGAGCAGTGTAGGGAACGGTGCCTTGCTCAGGGACACCTCGGTAGCACTTGGTCTTGCCGGGACTTGAACTGGTGACCTTCTAGTTGCCAAGCCAAGTCCCTATCGACTTCGCCACCACCGCCCTTTTTAAATATGTGATTTACTACAGCTTTAAGGTGCTTCAAAAACCTTAAAATGTAACTTGAAAGTGCTTTAATTTGATAGGAACCCTGAATAAATCCCGTCTTTAAAAAAACCATTGTCCCAAACCTCTCCCCTCCTCTTAGATTCCAGACTTCCACTCATCCAGGCGCTCCAAACGCCTCACTTCAAACAACCACTCAGCGACTGTGCAGTCTGTAAAGGAAGTGATGCTACCTTTCAAGGTGTTATCACAGGAAGTCGACCTCTGAGCGTTTCCTGGCTACACAATGGTAAATGTCTAATTACCATACCTACAAAAAGCCTATCTCATCTCCTTTAGGAGCCAGGATTGAGCCACAATATCCCATCTTTAGAAGTATCGTAATGATCCCCCTCTATACAGTAAAAACATGTGTTTGCCTATTTTTGTTTTGTCTTCTAGGTGAGAGGTTGCACTCAAGTAAAACCTCCTTCCAGAATGGTGTTTCCAGTCTGTCTCTGACTCAGTGTAAACCTGGCGATGCCGGGACGTACACGTGCACAGCTGAGAATACTGCTGGGAAACAGTCAAGCAGTGCTGTGCTACAAGTCACAGGTAAAACAGGTTGGAGTGAGTTTAAGCATACATGTTTCCTATTGAATCACACTGTGTACATATAACCTGTATCCACTCTGTTTGCCATGATACAGAAACAAAGGAAATCCCCAGAACAAGCAACCATGAGCTGCACAGTGAGGTCACATTTAAGGTTGCGTTACCCAAGAACACCCAATTGTCCTCAGCTTCTAAAAATGGACGACAGCACAGAGAAGAAAACAAAGGTAGACTACACACTTTTTTAAAAGCTTTATAAAATAAAATGCCTTGGTATACGTCCACAAAATCCCTCGATTTTTTTCTGCTTTTTAGGGAAAGCCCTGAGAGGCAAGTGAGAATTATTTTGGAGATCCCATCTTTAAGTCTGATGTCAATTCCTTTGTGTCTATGACTTAAGAACAGTTGGAACCAAGGTTTTGCTATGATTGTCTTTCTTGGTTCCTTAGAAAAAAAAGAATCTCTGAAACAAGTGGGGCCAGGATTAGTTTACATCTAAATGTCCCCAAGAGGCTGAAATGTCCCCCAAGAGGCTTCAGATTTCATCTTGCAATGTATACTTTAAACATTCTTATTATTGAAGATAAAAGCAGCAACAAACACAAATAATGTGAGGTTACATTTGGGAATCACATGCATTTTGTTCAGTTAACCTCTTAAAAAACAATATTGTGTCTTTAATCTTCACTCACCTGTTGAAGTCGACCCACACAATCATGTGTGGCTGCAGTGGTTGTCTGTTGATAGCTGTCTCTGCAACCTAACATGACTGCTGACATGTGATTGGTTAGATACTTCTTAAATCGACCTACAGTAGCGCACACCTGTAAATCCACCTTCTTCTTCAGTCTCCACAGCTATCAGTGATACAAACTTTCAAACAAAAGTCTCCCCAAGCAAAGGTGAGTGGAGAACACCACAACATGTAAGCTTAATTTGATAGCACTTAAGTCATGTTTTATGAATCAAATGAACTCTTTCCTTAGGGCCTCCTGTGGAGTTTGTGGACCCCCCAGAGCAGGTGGAGGTTCGAGTAGGAGAGCAGGCCCGACTTCACTGTGAGTTCAGGAGCAGCTCTGTCCCTGTGGCCTGCTGCTGGATTTTCAACAAAGACAAGGTAACAATAAGAGATTCATTGGTTCTAAGTTTAATTCATTACTTGATTATTCTAATTTTGAGATTGAGCAACATGTTTTGATGTGCACTTCCACTTTGCTTCCTCTTCAGGTGGTAGTAAGAGGGTCAAGGAAGTCTATCACGAGCAGTGAGACACAGAGCAGTGTGGAGATCTCTCAGGCCTGCCCAGAGGACAAAGGCTCGTACACCGTCGTAGCGCGAAACAGAAAAGGCTCTGCCCAGCACACCATCTCCCTCAGTGTCATGGGTAGGAATTGATACAATGCAATATACACAATATAGCTGAACAATTAGTTGATAGCTGATACAAAATGAATTAGTTTTGATTGTTGAAGTGAAACTTTTCCGAATTGACTATTTCACTTAGAAAACTAAGTAAATCTTCCTGATTTTATTTGTATAAATGTACTTATATTAGAGTATTTTAGTACCTTAACTTGATCTGATTTCTTCCTCTATTTTTCCTATCAGCACCACACTTATATTTAATTGAATAAATGAAATATAACTGATAAAAAAACTATAGTGAAGAAGGGAAAGTATGGAGATTAAGGGCACAACATAAGAAACTGATTCAACCCTCAGGCCATGTGTATGGAAATAAGCATCTCCAAATCAATACACTGCAAAATACACAATATATGGCTGCAAATTAGTTGATAGCTGATACACAATGAATTGGTTTTGATTGTTTAAGTGAAACTTTTCCGAATTGAGTATTTTACTTAGAAAACTAAGTAAATCTTCTTGATTTTATTTGTATATTGTACTTAAGGAACATTTTACATGCAGGACTTGTATAAGAGTATTTTAGTACCTTAACTTGATCTGAATTCTTCCTCTACTAAAAATCTCATATAATTTTCCTATCAGCAACACTTGTTGCAGGGATGTGAATTGATTAAAATAAATATAACTGATAAAAAAACTATAGTGAAGAAGGGAAAGGGCACAAAATAAAAAAACAATTCAACCCCCATGCCGTGTGTATGGAAATAACCATCTCCAACCCATGCTACCAATCAGTGATTTTACCTGTAACATTGTCTCTAGCTATTCAACTAAACATATTTTGCTCTTGAATTTCTCCTCAGACCGCCCAGCCCCTCCGGCCTCACAGCCTGTGGTGTCCCAGATGTCCACTCAGTCCCTGGTCCTGTCCTGGACGGGGCCCAGCTACGACGGGGGCACAGCAGTGTTGGGCTACAAAGTGGAGGTGAGAAATGAGGGCCAAGACAGCCCTGAGAGCTGGACAGAAGCAACCAGCCGTTGTAAAAACACAACCTTCCACGTGCGCTCTGGCCTGCAGCCTCTGGGTCAGTACCGCTTCCGTGTTAGAGCCTACAACTCAGCGGGGGTCAGCGAACCTAGCAGGGAGTCTGAGTGTGTGAAGATGGCGACTGCAAGTAAGTGACATGTTGGATATGTCAAATATTTGAGAAGAGGACTTGAGGTTTATCTGTCAGGTTTCAAGTGCTTATTTGGCAACTGTGTTTTTTATTTTAGAAGAAGACAAAAAGGACGAGCCTGATTCATATGTCACAGTGACCATTGACACCAAACACAAGGCCAAGGATCACTACAATGTGCACGAGCAGCTGGGAGTGTGAGTATATAAACTCCAGGTCGATGAGATTTTCAATGCACACATGTTTATTGTAAATATGTTAAGAACTGTCTTTCAAAGCAGAGTAAAGTTGTAATGCCTGTTATTTGCTTTGATGACAGTGGGAAGTTTGGCCAGGTGTTTCGGCTGTCCCACAAAGAAACAGGTCAGGAGGTTGCTGGGAAGTTTTACCGAGCCCGAACCTCCAAAGAAAGAATGGCAGCACGCAAAGAGATCGAAATTATGAACCATCTTCACCACCCAAAACTAGCCCAGTGCCTCGCTGCCTATGAATCGCGGTCTGAGATGGTGATGGTCATGGAGTAGTAAGTACATTTAAAAAAAGTGACTTTTAATGTATCAGGTGCTGCGACGTTTCTACTGCTGATCAGGGCAAAGCAACAAGTGATTTAAAAATATTTTCCAGTGCTTACAAAGCAGCAAGTGGAGGAAAGACCTGGGTTTGTGTAAAAAGACAAATAATAATCTCAATTTAAACCATAATTTGCCAACAAACCACATGGGTATAACATATTAAAGTATTAAGTATGTTTTGTCCAAACTGTCATTTGGACATTTAGATGCTATTCAGCCAAAAATATCAACACCTTTTGTCATTTTATAGTCATTTCGAACATTATTTCATTTGGATAATAACCTTTCATCTGATGTAACTCATAGCGACAGTAGACCGACGTTGTTTCTGAAGCATGGATTTAAATTGGTGTCATTTGTCTGCCCAGTATTGCAGGCGGGGAGCTCTTTGAACGCATCGTGGATGAAAACTTTGAGCACACGGAGCCCACCAGCGCCCGCTACATGCAGCAGATCCTGGAGGGCATGCAGTACGTTCACAAGCAGAAAATCGTCCACTTGGACATCAAGCCAGAGAACATCGTCTGTGTGGATACAACTGGCACACGGATCAAAATCATCGACTTTGGCTTATCTAGTGAACTGGGTGAGTTTGCTGGATCTGTAGAAAAACTCTCATAGAGATATCACTTGGATGTCATATCCTTATATTGTAAATATGAAGCGATTAGGAATGGAAATTCCCTTGAATATAGCATTTTATTTCTACATTAAAAAAAGTGTTCTTAATAATGACATCCTGTGTGCAGTCCAGCTAAAGATTCAAGCCATGAAAATCAAAGGGCCAGTCCATGCTGAGTAGTCATGTGCACATGGAGAATTAAACCTATTCTTGGCTGGATCTTTGCATGAAGTTTAATTATGTATATTTATATATTTTATAAATTTGCCAACTTCTCAATGTGTGAAGTTTTATAACCTTTTATTATCCTGACGCAGCAGGGTTGACAAAGGATCACTCATTTCAATACATGCAAAAATAACCCAAGATAACATCAAGGAGTGTCATCTCTAAATTCCTAGATGTCTACAATGCCCATTGCATAATAACCGTCTTTAAATAGACTGCTTTAACATGTATTATGTATTGTATTATTTAACATGTATGTACATGCAGCAAAGCCTGCAAAGAAAATGCAAGCACTAAATTAGGTGATGCTTCAAAAGCTGCAATTTGTAGGCTCTGTGATCTATTCAGAGAGGACTGTAGCCATCTTTAAACAGGCTAATATAAACAGGCAAACATTTTGAATTCCTTTCTCTTCTCTTGTTCTCCAGAGGAGGGTAAACCTCTGATGGTGATGCATGGTACCCCGGAGTTTGTGGCCCCTGAGGTGATCAACTATGAGCCTGTAGGCCTGGAGACGGACTTGTGGAGCATCGGAGTCATCTGCTACATCTTGTAAGTCCAACAGAGGCTGTAGTGATTTAAACTATAGGTACAGTCGTACACACAAACATAGTTACAGGTGAAAACAGTAAACCTGGGGGGTCAAGTGTGGGACAGTAAAAACCCTAAGACGACAATGATAAGTGTCCTGTTTTTACTTTTTGTTTATATATGTAATTTTAAAACCACTTAAAGTAAAAATAAATACATTAGCAACTTGGATTTTGTCAGTGATGCAAGATTAATTTCAATTTCATAAAAACTATTCCACAAATGCAGATTTGGCGCTTCCTGCTGGTGGTGTTGCATTACTGCAGCCCTCCTTAACATAATATGAGTACAACATCTTTTGCAAAGTTTAAACCAAATCCAGCAGTCATTTTGGAAATGAACAAACTCAAGACTATTAATTTGTACACACGGGTCAATGTTTAAAAACCCACATTCCTTTTGTTTATAGGTACAAACATAATCTCTGAATAAACGAGGCATTATTGTGTATCTTACTTTTCATTAATTGTTAAATTGTTCTGTGTCCTATAGACTCAGTGGAGAATCTCCCTTCCAGGGGAACAACGATGCTGAGACTTTGGCTCTTGTGACTGCTGCCAACTTCGAGTTTGACCAGGAGAGTTTTGAGGACATCTCTGATCAAGCTAAAGACTTTATCAGCTCCCTGCTGAAGAGGGACCGGAGGTTGGTCTATTTTTTTCATGACACCGTTACCTACAGTATATGATAGCTGTGTTTAAAAACTGCTTAGATTCTCATTGTGCTAACCTCCAGTTGATAATGTCACAGCAAGGCAATTATGAGCTAAATGTCCCCTTTGACATTTGTTTTGCATGTTACCTAAACATTTAGAAATGACTCAGGGAGAGCCAGGATTGTATTTATGCAGCAGATAATCCAATTCACAAGACACTGCTGGCATTTGACAGCTTTCCTCCCTGTCTCTCTCTATCCATCTGCACTTTAGATGCAGACCATCATGTACCGAGGCCCTCGCACACCCCTGGGTGGCCTCTTTTACTCCACTGAGCCCCCTACCCACCAAGTCCCTGAATAAGTGCAAGATGAGACGCTTTCTGGCCAAGCGCAAGTGGAAGGTAAAATAATTACTAAAATGCCGTCAGCCAAGAATGTGAACAGTTTCCTTATCAGTGCTTCCTGATGATGACCTTTCAATCCATTGTCCTATAAAGACCTTGAGCTTGGTTCTGAGTGTGGTTTGTCATCCATTGCTATTTGTCCTTTTAAACTTCTAGAAAACTGGCAAGGCTGTTTTGGCCCTACAGCGGATGTCTAATCTCTCCAACAGGCCAGACTCTCCTGGCAGCTCCTCAGAGGGTAAGACTGATACAAAGACACACACATACACACTCAATGCCCTCCTGTGTCCCAGAGCTACATACATATGGCAGATGACTCACTGTTTCCGATTGTCTCTTCAAGTTTACCCTTTTGTGATCTGTAAAGCCTTGTTTCTGTTTTATTCATCATCATCATCCTCATCCTCATCCTCCCCCTCATCCAGAGCCAGGATGGAGCCAAGAGGCAGAGGAGGCCATCCAGTCGCTGGATAAGCAGCTGCAGAGAGAGCCTCGCTTCCAGCAGACCCTGAAGGACACCACCCTTCCCAAAGGAGCCACAGCTCGGCTCACATGCCTTGTCAATGGTAGGGCAACAGAACTGTGCTGCACTTCGTATAATGCCTCAGCACACGCTACAAGTAGAGCCAAAAAAGACAATGCTCTGATATAGATTAAACCTAAACTGGCTGAACTTAAAGATTCATGGTTATTGTTTTTATATCCGCCATGGATCAAATTCCTTTGTTTTTAATAAGGACTTTTCATAGAAATCAACAAACAGATAGGTTGCGGTCGAATAGTCCGTTTTGCTTAGGAACCTTCCTAACGGAGTGAAATGACCCGGAAGTCCCTCAGTGGCAGCCATGATAAGTGCCGTTCGAATTATCTATGATAGGAAAGGAGGTTTCAAACTTCCTTTATACTTCCTTTAGCTTAGGAACCACTGGACCTTCCTTTACGAAAGGAAAGGAGAAAATGCTGCCTATATATATATATATATATAAAATAAATACATTTGTATTTATTTTAAGATATTTTCATACAATAATACGTATTGGGATCATTTGTATTAATGTGGACCGGAGGGAGAGGGTGACGAGCATAAGCTTCACTTTCCTTTTTTATTTCAATTCCAACTTTGGTCATGGAGAATATGTTTCTCTGTTGTCCACGTTCACAAAGCATAAAACAACAGCATCAGAGCATGGTGCAGAGTCTCTAGATGAGTTTACAGTAGTCCCTCGTTCTTATTATACATCCATGTTGTAGTCCGCTGTATAGAAAACTGTAGTTTCCATAGTTTCCCCACAGCAGCAGACGCACATTCATGACGTCCACTGGGGCATCATAAATACGTTGGATAGTGAAAGTGCAGTCGGATTCTCAAAGCACCGCAGTCTCTTCTCCTAAATCCTTTTGAATTCTCCTATCCACTATTCCTTAACCCTGTGAGTGTTTCACCCTCTTTGAGCTTATTGTTTTGATGAAGGCTAGTTATCTACAACTTTGCTTGGCAAATCCAACATTGTTTTTTTAAATAACTAATTTACGTTCTAATTCCTTTGTTAAATCGGTTCACAACCAGTGTGGTACTGACACATGGATTCAGTAAAGTATGTTCTCAGGGTTATGTTTCCCTGCTTAATGACACATTAACGGGACCGTTCAAAGGTTTTTATTTTCTCAGCAATGTATATTTTTCTAGGTCCAATGTTAAAATCTCCTACCTATGGTTTAAAGCATATTGATGTTAAACTCCTTAAAACCGTAAATTTGCAAGAAATATAGTTCTATTTATTTTTTTCTTCACACTATCGTATCACAACTGTGGCTAAACATATTCACCATCATTGTGTTCACCATTCAAACTATTTGAGCTATTCTTTTAACATTGGAAAAGCAACCATTGGCTTTGGGAATATTTAACAATTTGTTGTATCAAGACCAGAAACCATTTGTTTTTTTATATATGTGATCTTTTGTATCCCCTTTATTAGTTATTAAATGTTTTAACTCTGTAATAATGTCTCATTGTTTCAATTCTAGGCTACCCACAGCTGGAGGTGAAGTGGCTTCAGAATGAGAAGGCGCTGTGTGAATCGGGCAGAGTGAGCATGGAGCACCATGAAGACGGGCTCTGCTCTCTGACTCTGGAGGATTTGGAGCTTTCTGACTCTGGAGTTTATGTGTGCAGGGCCGGCAACAAGCTGGGGGAAGCAATGTGCTCCGCCAAACTGAAAGTGGAGATGTAAATGGAGAAAACAAAAGGAGCTTTAAATGTCCTTCATTCGTAAGGAGACTCTTCAGAAGTAGACTGATGTGAAGGGTTTTGATATAGCCTGGACATGACGTCTGTACATGGGTGGACAGGTGTATACTGCCACACAAAAAGGCTGCTTACAATTTATTTAAAGGGACAACTACTATTATGGTTGTTTTTGGACCAAATACCCAGAACCCTTTGTTTCACTAGCCACATTAAATAAATAAAGGTGAAATCATGTTACTGTGAGCTCAGCACCATTCACGTGAAAACTGTACATTTTGCACATTAAAATATTATTCAAATGTAATGTTTTTAAAGGCATCACGATTAAAGGCTGAATGAGGAAAATAATTCTTGAAATGCATTTATTTTTCACTCAAAACTAGTGAAATGTTCCATGCTACATAGCATTTTAATAAACAAACGTTAACAACATCAAATAAAAAATAAAGTTGGTCCATTAGCCCGTGCCTTAACTAAGAAAAATGCAGAGATCACTAATGGGTTAATATTACACCAATTTATTAATATTTGTCACTGATTTCCAAGATGACATGCAAAGCAATGAAATGAAAGAGGCTTACACTTTCAAACTGTACCACCAAATGTTACTTCAATGACTTCATGGGACAAAACCAAGCTTTGGCAATGAAGCAGTCTTTTATGTAAACATTGATTTATCATTTTAGGATCTGACAACATACATTAAGATAAACTCATCGGTTTTTTTATTTTGTTTCCACTTTGATGTATCTTTGGCTTTAATTCAGGTATGTTCAGAGAAATTAATAATTGAATGTTCAGGTGAGTTCATTCTTGGATTTCCATTCCATTTTTCCTTTTTAAATAAACCTTTCAAAGATGTATAGATAATGTTCACATCAGCTGGATTTAAATCATTGTCTTTAATGTGTGTCAATGTACAGTGTCATTGATTATTTTCATCATGTTAGGGGGATAGTGTATTAAACGCATCTACACTGATATTTCAAAATATCCTAACCTATTGCACAGCATTCTCAAATATAAGTCATCTAATTTGGTTAATCCAAATATATTTCAATTATTTTTTGTACATTTGTTAAAAATATTCTACCAATCCCTGAAACTGCACAGATAAACCCTTTACCATCAGTTGCCTTTCTAAGCTACATTCATTAATTGTGCTTTGAAAACATGGAAAGAACTTGTGTCATAGTGTCAACTGAACAGGTGCTAAAAATAGACTTTGCTGAGAAATGAGAATGTTCTTGTTTGCTGAATGTTGGGCAAATCATTTAAACGGGAACTATTTCAAACTCATGTCATTCAAAACAATATTTGAAGAATAATCCCAAACATGAATTCCAGTCTTCAAAGTCCAAAATACTATTGTTTGGAATTATTAATATTGTTTTTCCTTATGCATCCCTTTTTCAGTGCATCTTGAAATACAAAAACTATTAAAAACTAGTGGGAACTCAATTAGGCACTGAGTCTTGGTCAGAAGTAAGAAAGCGTGTTGGATTTTCTGAAATGGCACAGGAACCATTCTCACTTCTTCTTAAGGCATCTTGTTCTGTAATAACATCTACACAGCTAAGATGATACATCTCCCTTTGTCCTCTGCGTGATTCTCTCCTCAAGAAGCTCCCAAGCTTTCAGTACCTTTAAAGAAAATAAGACATAGGGAGAATTATTACGACATAATTAATGTAAAATGTAACATTTTACATAATTAAAATATTTAAAAAGGTCCCCTATTATACAGTTTTTCATCAATATATTATAGGTCTCAGATATATATACAAAACATGTCTCTGAAGTGTTTGGCTGAAAATACCAAACAGATCATTGCAGCATCCCATAATCCCCTCTGTTACAGCCCTGTTTCCAAAGTGCTGATTCTCTGTCTGTTACTTTAGATGAAAATAAGGAGCCACGCCCCTCTGAGAGATATTTGGTTAAAAAGAACACAATGGTGCTCTAGGAGGAGATTCAGGTGATAAGGTGTCGTAACAAAAAATCGTTATGACATCATAAAGTGGCCAAATTCTGATCAGCTCATTTTCAGACAGGTTTTTATATAAATGGATCAGGACAAAAAGTGAGTGAATCTTTTTTCCTGAAACTTTCAGAATCTCTTTACACAGAGGGGACACATGTTTATGTATAAAAGACGTGAAAAAGTGAATTTTTCACAATAGGTGACCTTTAATGTAAAGTACATGTGTAGACTATGAAGGTCTGTGAGTGTCCGACCTGTTTCTGAGTGACCTCAGGCTCCCACAGTGTGCTGAGCACCACGTTGGCCCGCTCTACTTGCTGACTGTTGGACCACTGGCTCTGCAGCCGGCGGAGAGCATCCTCTGTGGTCACCCCGTCACGCTCTGTTATCCTTATCACAGCCTGAGAGGGGAGCAGAAACAAGGAGAGGTGAGTTACGAGAAAAAGGTGTAAACCAGGATGTGTACAATTTCAAATGGCCAAATTTGGAACCCCTCAGTGGTAGTATATCAGCAATGCGTGACAGCCACACACCCCTTCACCACCAGAAATGTTGTCATATTTTTTTTCTAGAAACAAGCCATCAGACAAAGTAAAAAAAAGAAAGAATATGCACTAAAGTTCTTAAGAAATGTCGACACAAAGATTCTTTAATCCAATACTTTTCTTCACATCCTTTGCACACTAGTGCATCTTGCCACTGGTTTCACTTCACTTCCCAATATCATTTTAAGATTAGCTTGCATTCTGTAGCCCAAACTTAAACAGCCTTTTCAGACAGACCATTCCAGTATCGAGAAACAAATACACGGTAAAAACTCTTCACCTTAGACTCATCAACTTTACTTTGTATTATTTTCCTCACAGGTCAATTTGACTCCATGTCTGTTACATTGAGATTTGCAGGTGAAAACATATTACCTCCTCCTCAGGGATGATGGTGACCCAGACCTCGTGAGTCATGTCTGTCCAGCCGGCCTCTAGAAGAACTGCTGCATCCAACACACACACCTGTTTACCTGCAAATAGCAACAGATCACATGAACACTGGGGGAAATCTCTTAATACGATCAGTACAAGGAAATATAAATGTTAGTTCTTACATTACCTTCCTCTCTGGCTTGGCTGATTATGTTCTTCACCAAAAGTGCAATCTCAGGCCATACAATGTCGGTGAGGGCTTTTAACCGCTCCTGCAAACAAAAAAACATCTTTAATGTACAGTTGATACACAGTGGTTAGTCTGTCATGTCATTTACAATGTTGTGATGTGCGGAAACTTTATTTATAGTTGTCACATTACCTTGTTTCCAAAAACCTTCCTTCCTAATGCGCGTCTGTTGATGGTCTTGTCTTCATTCAGAAGATCTAAAAGTGACGAAAGAAACTCATCACCGCGCTCTTCATCGTTATATATATTTCATTAAAATGGTAAGATATCATGAGGAGATGGATTACGCATTTCTGACCATAGTCCAACCGGTCCTTATCACACAAGAGTTTCTTCACCTGACCCAAATTCTTTGAGCACTCTGTGATGTGCCGCGGTGTCGGGCTGGTACACCTCGTGGCCCAGCTTGTCACAGTCAACCCGGACGGCACCCAAAGCCTCCAGCCGCTGGGCGATGGAGCTCTTCCCACTGCCGCTGCCTCCTGTCAGGCCTATCACGTATGGAAGTGGAGCGAGATGGGATGTGTCCTAGTGCAGAGAAAGCAGGAAATGCATGGGAGCAGGGAATGAAAAACCATGTTTGTTTATTTTTGCAATACGCCTATATACTGTAAAGAAGAGCTATTTTATTTTGTATCTGTAATAGGTCAGTTCTTATTTTAACCTTTAAGCATTAAGACGTTTCCAAAGTCTGATCTGTGTGCTTGATACCAATTGTTCAATAGCCAGGTTTTGTATAAAAACACTTTTCCTCAAATGTAGCAAGTATAATCTTTTGCTTTAGTAAGTTAATAAAAAACATATTTGGCATGACTTTTTTCATGACTTAAGGTTGCAATAATACCACACTTAGTAATCTACATGCAATAAAATGCCTTATCAAAACTGTTAAGCCATACTTTAGGTGGGGTAAGGAGGGTTCCCAGCAAACGAGAGCGTAGACTGGAGGAGCTGATCTTCTCCTCCTCTGTCTCGGTGTGGTGGGCATCTTTGAGCAACTGGATCTCATAGAGGACGAGAGCGGGCAGGCCCTGATTTAGGATGCAAAGACAACAAAACATCATATATATGTGAGAAGGAGTACCCAGGCTAAGGTTACCTATATATCTGGACCAAAAAGGATTAAAATGAACATTTAAAGTAACAAAACTGCACTTGGGCTACATGATATTGATATATGCATGTTTATTGTTGGATGGAGCACTTTTGGATGCATGTTTGTGTTTAATAAAAGTTGAGTTGATGTTAAAAAAGTAAAAAATTCAGCCCAAGAAAAAAAATCACTTAGGAAGAGGACCTTAATTGAAGTACAATTGTATTATAACATTTGAGTCCAATTTACTGGTAAAAGTCAACATGTTTGGTGTAACATTTATCGGATATTTCCTAACTTACGTTCTCAATGCGTTTTTTGTTGACAGCCTCGCCTCCCTTCCTAGTCTCCTCACTAACCACAATGCACTGCAGCAAGGGGTCAACCACAGACACTCCATAGGGGTCATCAAGGGGCACGATCTCCACCTGCAGCGAGGGTTTGATTTCTTGAAGGAACTCCTGTAGTCTCTGTACCCGCACAGAGTAGGGCTCCACCAGCTCTTTAAGAACTTTTTCTAAAGCCATAAAGAAAAGTATGTCAGAGGGGAGAGGGGGTTCATCAAAATATGAGAAATGTGCCTATATGATGACATTCCTAAAATGACAAAAACACTGGAAATGTTCTACTCACTTTTCAGCATTGCTTTGTCACACACACCGATAAGGAACCTCCTATTGGCTAGCAGGCATGAGATGTTGAGCAGCGTCTTGTGGGCCCCATGGAGACGGTCAAAAGTCCCCCCTACCACCACGTCACTGTAGGTCTCCAAGGGTTCTGCCTCTTCTTCAGGCTCTTTCAGTGCATCCTCTGTCTCCTGCAGCATCATTAGCTGTGGGTGAAGCAGCACTGAGGGCAGGCCGGGGCTACAGACGTAGCAAAGGCCTGTATAACTCTGCAGACATTGCATGACCTGATTAGACTGACCCGGGTTCTGCAGAGGAAAGTCTGTAAGAACCACATCCGGGGAGTGAGACAGAGACTGTGGTCTGGGGAAGGGGACGTTTGGGATGGTGGTCCCGCTGCTTGTAGCTGACTGAGCGCGAACATTAGTCAGCAAAACACGAACATCCAGGTGCCCGCACACATCAGCTGCGTTGCTGTAAAGGCGGCTAATGATTGTTGACAGGTCCACTACCGGTGGAATGAAGACGGGTCGAGGCTGGTTCCCACCCCCGAGTATCAGCCCTGGGTGGAGGTGGACGTACAGTGTGCGCTCCACAAGCTGAGCGGCTGAGCTGAGAACAGGAGCGATGCGCAAGGGGAGGATGTTGAGAGGAGACGTCAGCACAAGGATGCCCGTGGTGAACATAGCCATGGTACCGGCCGATATCACGGGGAATCACAGCCGTCACAGTATCTGCTGAGTCACTGTTAGGGATGGAAAGTGAAAGACAAGTCAAATGAAAGCAGTTGGCTGAGATTTTTTATTTTATTACATTAAAACCACCTTTGAAGGCTCTCTACACAAGCAGTGGTACTAGGTAGCAATTTCTTTACGGTTTAAATAACAAAAAGAGGATATAATTATTGCTAACATGCATCCTTTAAACAACCGCCCAAGGACAAAACTGCATTTACTTGGTGATAAAATGTTTTTCTTTATTTTAGCTGACCTACTAACAATTGTAACAACATTTTGGCAACACAACAAGTTATTGTCCTGTTTAGCATCCCTATCATGTTTATTTCATACTGCAAAGCTATAAGCATGCCATGCATAGTTACTGATACACTCCACATTAACATTCCTCCAGTCTGCGGGCTCTGTGTTTATGATTACCTAGCTTTTACAACAACAAACTTTTCTTAAAATATTCCGCTTGTTGTGCAATGCAGTTACATTGTGACAAGCCAATTCCTGACTCACTCCATCGGTTTCACCCTAGAGGCAAAGTATTTCAGTGAATAAAACAGCTGTTTGTTATTGTCACTATTCTTCATTCAGCCAACGAGGAAGCTGACTGACCTGAACCGACCTAAACTCTACCATGTTATTGGTCAGATTTTTAGCCATTGACCAATCAAATACAAGTATGAAGATACAGTAAATAAAACAGATTTAAACTGAAAGTTGATCAATGTTTAGCCACTACGAAGTCTTGCTTACTTACAAGCAAGCACTTTATTTTGCTTAGAGTTGACAGTTAAAGCTCAGATTAACTAGTGTTTACTCAAAGTCGTAGCTAGCTAGCAATGTAGTACTACCATCACATTGCCTGTAAAAAAAAAGGCAATAAAAACCCTTTGCAAAGTGACCCTGCATGATTATAAAAGAGCAACCCTTTAAAGATGCTGGTGTTTCTTATTTACCTGCATTAACACAAACGACCTGTACTTTTAGGTGCGGCTCACATACTAAGCAATTATCGTTCGTGACAATCTGGCACATATCTGGCAACCTTGCAATGCAACCGTTAGCATGAGCTTACCTTAGTGGAGGAAACCTAAGGCGACGTGAAGTACGGACGAATCGTGCAATTTAAGTGGATCTGGTCACATATCTACTGAAGAGATCATTTCCTGAAAAATATTTAACTAGCAACTGTCTTATCCAGTCCCCTTCAGACCAGTAACTCACACATAAACTGGTTGGGGTAATCACGTGATATTTTACACGCACCCTGAATGGTTGAGGGGGGAAAGCGATGGAGTCTGGGAAACGTAGTCATGTAATTAACAGAGAGTCACCGTAAGGTAAACTTTATAAATCCAGGCATGTAAACAAAGTGTGTCTGCTTGATTTGACCGGACTTTAATAGTGTATTACTTTACAGGTCGATTGAATGACATTTACAGCTTTATTATATGAATCCATTAATGTTTGTTTTGACCCTAACCCTAATAAAATACAGATGAAGCAAAGAGGCTACAGAAAAACACAACAGACCCAGGATAAATACATAGAGATCATTAGACGACATGGCAAGACATCTTATTTTTTGGTTAATGCCAAGTATCCTATAATAAGATCCCGAGCAGATAAAGCACAATCAGTGAGTTATTTAAAGCACTTGCATAGGTGTGCAAAAGCTTTAAATAAATATGTTACTCTTTGTTACAAGTTTTTACAATTTGTAATAGTTTTATTCAAAAAAAATTGTTTCAGGAGAACTTTGAATCCTTGTTTGAGGTATTCTGGCTGTGCAGTATAAGTGTATTTACGCATACTCAATGTAAACATAATTGCAAAGTTTAAGTGAAACGTCCTTGCATATACGCCGCCATCAATTCTAATTTTTCTACGAAGACCTAATTATTTGACAGATATACTCAAAGAATGAAAGTTGTAAGTCATGCATACATTCAGTATGAACTCAGCCTTTGTACTTACTTGTGTTGCATGCAGGTATGTTAGGTAGATTCTAGAGCACGAAAACAGGAGTCGAGTTTTGCAGAAGATATTTTAATTTTCAATTTAGAGTTTGAGGCCAACAGTTTGTTTTGTAACAAAAATAATAACAAGAAATAAAGTGTAATTTCCATACTGTAGAAAGAGTTGCATGAAGAAGTCCCGGGGTAAACTGGGCAGAGGCATCGTATAATTAGCAAAAAAACAAGTAAAAACAACAGATTCAAGTAAAAAGTTTGTAATCAAAACAAAGTCACATTTAAGCTTGGGGGCAATTCTTGGGAAATTAAGACTCTTGCTGGGTTTCACTTTTGGTCAGAGGAGTACAACTGAACCCATGGGACCACTAACTCTCCAAAACTCTGTAGTCATCTTTAAGTAATGAATTCAAGTTGCTCAGTAGGACTTAGTGAACTATGTTCCTTTAAAAAATTCAAGTTGGTCAAAGTATGAGTTGTTGAAGGTGAGCCTGCAGCAGGAGGCACGACATCTTGAGTGGATGTATATTTATGAACATGGACAGACACCTTTTGTTCAGTTTAACTCCCCTGCTCTACTTGAATCCTCTTCCAATATATTAATTGACTTTCTTATCGCTGGTGCTATCGCTTGCAGCTGTGTCATAATGGCACTTCTCCACACATCGTCTTGGAAACCATCCCCTTACACGGTCTCCTACTGTAAAAAACAGCAATAAAGGACACAGTTATACATTTGTTAGAGGGAAAACCTAACTTTAACCTTAGCCCATCACAACTTACCTATATTATGCTCCTCGTTCAAAACTTTGTCTCCATACATCCACCATCTGAAGAGGAAAAAAAACCCATTAAATATAAGAATTTAAATAGACAATTACAATACAGTTCTGGTCCATTACTCATGGATTTAAAAATAAATCAAAGATCACATTTCAGAAACGTTGTGAGAGAGGAAGATGTGTTTTAGAGTTTGTTTCAAAGAAAACTACAACTGCATCAACACGACAACATTTTGGATTTCAAGCGGAAAAAAGAGGAAAAGAAGCAACTTGTAACCACAACTACAATAGGTACGCTCAGTCTCATTTTGCTTCACTCAGGAGGCGATTCTGAGTCAAGTTTGACACCTAGTGGTACAATTTGGTATCCCAGTCTGGTCAGGTGTTAGGCCTTATATCAAACCATTTTAGACATTTTGTTTTTTTACATCAACAATTCAGAGATCTACACACACAAACAACCAACTTACTTAGTGCCACGAGTTGCCAGGATGGTGTCCCCCTTAATGAGGGGGATTCTGGGCTCTTCGGTGCAGGGGGTTCTGAAAAAGGTTTGGAGTCCTTTGCTGAGAGGACAGCAGGCTCCATTATAGTTCTCCACTGCCTGATACTGGACCTGCTGGCCGATGCATACAACATATCTGATTATTATACTGCTCCCACAACAAACTTAATTTAGACATGATAATAATGTGGGTTAATAAAGTCACATTCATCAATCATAATTAATTTCAATGTCTGACAACATTTCTGACAATCTGCATTCAATTACAGTGATTTTGTCTTGATGTATGAAGCACAATTGATTAAATCTCACAAACATTCTGCTGGAGTCGTATACATCCTAGCCAATCCAAATTAAAACCTTCTCTTGTGTATCTGTGTGTAAATCAAGTCCACATGGTACTTACACTTCTCACTCGTTTATCAGCTTTCTGCTTCAGTTGTTCGATCTGTTTGAGGGGGAACAAGACAATTAGCCTCACTTAAGTCTCACTGTTATCCAGAAAATGTATCAAGAATAGGATTTATTAGAATACCCAATGCTAAATAAAAAAATCAAAGAAACTTTGACATCAGAAATACAAAGAAAGATGCAATACTAAACAACAAACTGAACCTACAGTTAAGGTGTGCTGGTGACACTTGGGATGGACTGGCCATACGAGGCCGTCACCCTTGGGCGACCCTGTCCACGTAAAGACTTGTTTGAAGTTGAGCCAGCGGGTGCCGAGGTCGTAAGGGAAGATGAAGTCCTCCCCTGTTTGGTAGTGCTGTATTCTGTCTTTGGCCTAGTGGAAAACACAGAGGAGGTTGTGTTCGTATGTGTTTCAATAGGACTGTTTAGGCGGGGTGGTGTCAAGTTTCAGCCTGCTGTATTGTACTGACAGATGATCCTGGGATGTGTGTGAATTAGTCATAAATGGAAAACAAATTTAATTTAAAGAACAAAGCTTTAAATAGCAAAGCTTGTGATATTCTACATTATTGTTTGTAGATCAAACAACAAATAATACAAAAAGGCACCCATGTTAAATAAAACTGACATATCATCACAAAACAAGCATTGGAAACCAAAGAAACATCCTGACCTTTTCCTCGATCCAGGACTCGATCGAGGTCTTATTTCGAAGGATGACTTTCATCTGAAAAAGATAGACTATTTCAGTCAACTTCTATTAGCCTTTTAGCTTGATCGTAGGACTTTTATACATCAATAAATGTCTGTTACATTCAAGCCTTCACCAAACGAGGTCACTCAATGCTGAACTAGGCTATATCACCGCAAGGGAATGCTCTCTTTATTTTGCAGTGTACCAGAGCTGTGGTGTCTGTGGAAACTCTCTTGCTCTGGTGCACTGTCATGTGTCAACTAGTCAGAGCTATAGGGGCAGGAAGGGGGAACAGCAGTTTAAAGTATGGAGGAAAAACCTAAAAAGGGTCTGCAAAAGCTTCTTCAGATGAGAAAACAGCGTTAAGATAAAGGGGACCACTGGGGGAGCCGCTGCAAGCTTACCTGAATGCATAGGCATTTGTCAAAAGCACACATCAACAGTGTTTGTGTAGTTTTTCTCACTGCGAGAAGTGGGAGATAGAAGTTCTGCACACTCGAGCTTTAATAAATGGCATCATTTCCAAGGTTAATGCTGAAATGATCATGTCAATGACAGCAATACTAGCCACAAGCTACTATAAATGTACAACCCCAATGAAAAACGTACCTGTATGGCGAAGAGCATACCAACGGCAATAGTGGTGCCAAGTGCCAAGCCTAAGGCAAAGAGTGTAGCAGCAAAGGCAGGCACACTGAATGGCATGAGAGGCTGGAATTGACGCACAGCACTCATATCAATCTTTACAGTGCTCCAGCCAAATGATATCTACAGTTAGGAAAAAGAAAACAGTGTGTATCAAAATGATTAATTAACTGGAAAAGCTGTGTTGGCAGTAGGCCATGAAAAGCATAGTGTGGTGTGGTAAGGAGACTACTGACTCTCTCATACAGCTGTGTGTACATGGTCATGATGAAGATGATGGCAGCATGTGAGCATCCCATTGGAGCCAGCAGCAAGAAGCTGGTGAAGTAGGCGTGGTTCAGGTGGCCGCAGCAGTTGTTGATCCAGGGGCAATGGTGATCCATCTTCATCACGCACCTGGTGGAGGGGAGGCAGAGGAGAAGAGGAGTGGTGGGGAATGTTAGGTTGTTTTTTTACACAACAGATTATATGATGCATGCTCTTTAATTTTCACACAGCTACCTGTTACATTTGCGACAATGGTGCGACCTGGGGGCCTTGTAACCTTGGCACACTCTGCAGTACTGTAGGTACTGGGCTTCCAATTGATTCTCCTGTTTGGGGATAAACAAAGGTAAATGTGTAATGAAATATATTTTATATGACTGTATGGTTTCACTCTATTTCGCAACTTTAAGAGGTAATTTCACAGACATGGTCAAACCCTGTTCTGTACACTATTTTGTTTAAACAAACACTGAATGCTTTCAGCTTTAGTTTTTTATTGAGTATGCTTACTGGTTTCCAGCCTAAAGGGATGTATCCAGGTCCAACAAACATTGCATTGAAGTAGTTGTAGAGGATGAGAACAGTCCAGTTGAGTAGCATGATGAAGTTAATACTGCCTCCTGTAGTGTCTAGTGGCCAGTACCAGATAATGGAGTCCAGAATGGCCATGGTGGAGCATATAGAAATGACAGACAGGGCTATGACTGGACCCCAGTGGCACAGTCTTCGAACCTCATGGAGGTTCTGAAATGTCACAACATTTGACAGGAAATTCATCTTCTCGCGTTTGTACTAATATTTTGGTTGAGTTCCTGAAATGTATCGACCAAGCTTCAGTCTGTTAATTTTTGCCTCTGCAACCTTGCAAAGTCAGGAGTGCAGGTGAAGCACATATTTTTTCTCGTCTTCTGAGTACCCAGCAACTGGCCTGCTCTTGGGTCATTGGGGCTCTCCGTGTCCCATTGTTCCTTGCCGTGGCAAAGAGCAGCATCCTCTCCAGCCAATCTTCGGAGCACACTAGTCTTGTGTCAAAATCTAATTCCCCATCTAAGAGAAAAATAGAAAGAGAGAGACAATTACAAACACATGTGATCTACACTTAATGACCCAAGTTTGTGGTAGACACACCCAGTTGTCAGATTATTAAACACACCTACCTACAAATAGTATATTGTAATATAACAGCCCTGTAATAAATCATTATTCCATAAATGTTATACGTTTTGGATTTATGTTGTTTGACAGAGAATACAATGTAATTTCCTGGAGTCTTATGTTAACAGTAATGCAACCTGATAAGAGAATCCGATGTTTTAAACTTCATCACAATGATTGTCACTACAATAAAGGCAATCATATTAGCTAAAAGCTTTAGATCAAGCACACTAAACGCAAATCTATAATACACCAAAGTGGCTGACGCTGCATTTCTACTTATTGGAAAGCCATAGCATTTCCCAAACAGAGGACAAACTAATTAGCTTGTTACCAAGCTAGCTAAACCGCATCAAGAACAATACATTGTATTTTAATAGTATATGTAGGTGTCAACATCAGACCACACTGGCAAAAATAATAACTAACTACAAAAGGGATTGTGCATTTTGCAATTATTTTTGTTTTGTAGAAGAGCTAACGTGACATCTGTAAACTAGCTAGCTAGCTTGTTATCCAGCTTGACAATATTAACGGATCACTGACACAAGGTGCTAAGAAAAAAACACGGATTATATTGCATCTTAAAAATATAACGAATGCTTACTGATACGCATATATGAACATTTCGTATACATGGAGATAAAAACTGTCACTTTAAATTACCAACCTGTCCACTTCCTTGGTTTTTTTCTTCGATTTCTTCTGTGTACAAAGCGAGTGGAACCTTTCTGATGGTGTCTCACATATTGTTACCCCCAGCCTCTTGTGGACAAATTAAAATCCTCAATTTAATGTATTTGTTTATTTATTATAATATAATTGTATTTGTATTTGTTAACCCTTGAAAAAAATAAACGTGACAGATAGAGTCTTTTCACAAGCTGAATCACTTTTAGCGTCAGGAAAATAACATCATGTTTCTTACCGAGCGCATTTTACTGCGACTCAAGGAAGGAACTCCATTCTACCATTCGATACTTGTTGTTATTATCCTGAGCTAACTGTCACCAACCTGTTTTAAACCTAAACGTCACAATGTCTTCTGACTTTGAAGCATACGAGCTGGACTTTGGGACCATTACAGCCGAAGTAACCAACAAAATTGGCCGAATTCCCAAACTAAGTGGAGGTAAGACAGTTATATAAATGAGTTGAACCGCTGAGCTGGACCTGGCTATCAGTTAGCTGGCATTTCTCAGCTGAGAAGGCTAGCTAACGGTAGCATGTATAGCCTACAGTACATGTTATTTCCTCAATGTACTACCTTATCTATGGGTAACAACATGTATTGCGCAAAACGGTGACACACATATCGAGTGTGTTCTTGACTTGTATACAAATAGATGAATCACGTGTTGCTGGCTGACATAATAGCTTGTTATCATGTCTTAATGGATTTTAATCAGTGTGAAAATGTGAGCCTAAAGACAAATAACATCTAATATTTTCTCCCGTTAGTTAAGTACGACTTAATTTATAGTCTTTTAACCTCAGTAATAGTAGGCTTAAAAGGACACAAGTCTTTGGTCACTGCTATTATAGTTGTTAATTGTAAATTAAAATAATCGAAATTAATTGATAGTAAGTGAGTTTTGACTGGTATTTCAGTCTTTCCATGGGATGACATAAATACCAGATAATACCAGATATCTGGATGATGAAAAAAAGGTGTTTTTTTTTCTTCATGAATGGACATTGTTGAGTTTGAAATCACCATGGCAACGCAGCAGCTTGTTGCGTTTTCTTGCACCAATGAAACTGGATTTCCATTACAAAATGATCAATGTTATTGTTGATTTGATTCTTTCAACAGTCCAGAGACATGTTATGATGGTCAGGTGAATTAGTCGCAACACATTATACATCAGTGTGAATACATCTGTGTGTGTTTCTGTTTCCTATGACATCTTTCTGACTAATAGATTCTAGAATAGCTATCAACTCAATGCTTGAAATTGAATATGTGTGTGAAGAAAACGATAGAAAGATGGATGGATGTCTATGTTAGCCAAATGATCTTTAAAGGGTTTAAATAGGGGTCAAGTCATATTGGTTTCTCCTTTTTTTCCGATTTGCCTACTGAAGATTTGTTTTCCTTTTCAATACAGATATGATGGGTCTGTATTGGACATGCAAGTGACAAGTGTTCAACTCGGAATGTATTTATTTTGTCGAATAGAAAATATGTATTTATGTTTTGACCAAATCACACTGTGAGGCTCAGTGAGTTCATCGTGACTACTTTACAAATCATTAAAAACCATAACAACTAAGAATAACGTCTTGGTTTGGTGGCAAGGTCTGCAAATGGATGCTGCACATAGAAGTTACTAACATAGTCACAATGGTGTACCAACAATCCATCATTTTAAAAGGATTTATAAATGGATGGGAACAGGCACAGCCTTCAGTATACAGGTCAAAGATGATGTGATAGATCCTACACTCATGTGTTACTGGCTTCTTTACTCTCGTAAGGTAGGAGCGTTTTGGCACGAGCTTCAACCTGGCACAGACCAAAAAGGCTGAGGGCTGAGCAATCTTTATCCCTCTCTCTCTTTGTGGTATTTCTAAACATTCTGGTCTATCCCTCTATATGTATTTGTATTAAGGTCCCACAAAAGGATGTAACAAACATGTATTTGAATAGTGCAATTCGATTTTTACTAGTGACAATTAGAATTGGAGTCAATTTGCATTTTTGTTAATAGGTCAAATAAAAAACAAGAATGAGAGGCAGCATGTGACTTCATACTGATATTTTACAGTGTAAAATACACAGCATGTTATTTTAATTTACACCAACTGCTCAAATCCATTAGGATATATAAATATCAAGTATTGCAGAGATGCTATTTAAGGAACTGCAAATGCTGTGGAGCTGGAAAACTTGGATTCTCCATAACTGACTTCTCCTCTAAGTTTATTTTCCGTTTTGACGGCTAAAAACTGTTTCCAAAACCTACCTGGAATATTATCGGCCTTGCTCATTGTTATTTCAAAGGGCACTGCCTCTCACAAAACCTCGCCTCACTGAATATTTTGCGTTTGGAATTGGCATCTTTGAAGCTTCATGGCAGCCCATTCCACAGTGTAATTCCACATTGCATCCTCTCGCCATCTGTTGACTGTGTCACAGTAAGCCCATATGAATATGCACAAAGCCGGGAAATGCATTCCAACCATAAGTAGATGTTCAACGTCTTCTGCCACCAACAAATTAGTCAACATTTGAATTTGAATTCCCTCCGTTCTCATTTGGGTTTTCTTCTTTTTCTTAAGTCAATCTGGCTCTTCTTCCTGAAGTGGCTGCATTTTTCTTAGTGATTTGACAGCCCTCTATTTAATACATTAATATAGCTCCCGACAAAGGGCTTTTGTTATTGCTGTTGTTGTATCTCTCTATTCACATGTGCACAATGGCTGATAATGGCCAGAGTGTATGGACAAAATGGCATTGACTGTCTTCATTCATTCAATCAAAGCCCTACTTCTTCTTTGTTTGCCTTACTTCTGGGTACAAAACTGCTCATCCGTCCGTCAGCAGGTTCTAGTCTCGGTAAATAGTCATACATATTTCACAGCCCTCCAGCTCGGGCCTGAGTTCGAGTAAGAAAGCAGCGCTATCGCACCTTCCAGTGAATGGCCTCTGGCTGTTTACTGTGTAGGTTTCGAGGCTGGACACGGGTTTTAAAAATGCATTTCAGGTCTCGCTAAAGTTAATGTTGGTCCGTGGAGCCTGAGGAATAAAGATATTGGCTTAGATTTATTTTTATGATTTTGTAGTCCCACAACTGATAGTCTTGTGGTTTGCTTTGAAGCTATGTTGACTTTGAGTTGAATTATTTAAAATGATCAAATATTTATCACAATAAAGCTTCTCCTCAAAATATATATATTTTTTAATAAAATATATTTTTCGTGAAATTATTACTTTCAAGAAACTATCTAAAGTTAAATAAAAATAATTGAATACTGTTAAGATTTTCTGAATGTTTTTTTTTAATAGAAACAATGTAAATTGGCCCTACACTGTCTTTGTTGATCTCTTTTGCTCCCTAGTTCTGGAGATACATAGTGTCATCTAAACAAATCCTAAATATTATTAGTAATCAATTAGCATATGTAAAATCATATTATATTATAAGTCACATCAGAATTTGTATTCAAATGTCTGCTGTGATAAAGCTAAATATGCCATTCCTTGTTTAGTTAATTTCGTATAAGGACAACTCAACACTAAATTAAATATTAAGTTATTATACTGTAAACTCTGTACTAGGATTGTCATTTGTTAATATACAGTCGCTTTTCTAAATAAATGGTTTTTAATCCTAAAAAATAATTAAAATAATGACACTACATGTTACCAGTGATACAATTGATGTTTCAAACTGGCTTTTTTGTGTGTCTCAGTTATGAATCCGTGAATATACTTAAATACGAGTAATTCAAACGCATTTGTCATGAATTTCAACATTTTGGTCAATCCGTTTTTACCTCCATTAAAATAACCCGTGCTATTGATGCTTGTTTCATTCAAACATTAAATGATTCTACAGGACCATATTTCTTCTTTTCATGCAGTTCACTTTCAAGGCAAAGAGCTCATTTTAGAACAGAGACCAGGTCTCATATGTGCAGAAATTAAATGGTAGCGTGGCTGCCTTAAATAACGATGGGATGTACGGTGCTTTACGTGCCTATTTGGAGCGCTCGCAAGTCGTAATGAGTTTCAATGGGTAATGTGGAAGAGCAGCCACGGGGTGATGAGCTGAACGGCGCGTTAGTCATTCTGAGTGGGACTCATACTTCTGGCAAGTGAGCAAAGCTGACACCTCCCTTCCCTTTGAGTTGGCACGAGGTGTCTCACTGCTCCTCAACAGAAACCAACAAAGGCCTCATAGACGCCAATAACTAAGAGACATCAAATGTTGGCTCATCGTGTAGAGAGAATGTGTAAATATATCTTCAAATGTGTCCTTGTGTGTTGTTTTCTCCCAGTCTTTCTTTCTCTCTCCCCCTCTCTTCCCCCGTTGCGGGGGAGTTAGATTGTTGTCATGAAGCGCTGTTCCTCTGTCGGCTGATCAATATGTTGCTGTTTTTTCCCTTTCAGAGGAGAAGACACAGCTGGTTCTAAATGTCGACAAACAGCTCGAAGAAGTCAGAGAGTTGGTACGTCTTTGATCAGTAATTTTCTCCTCTTCCCATTTCCTAAATAATGAATTTGTGGAAAGAGGGAGGGTACCATTTTATCTGGCACCAGACAACAGCACCTGTATTATCCTGGTGGTGACATGACATGCAGACACACACACAGACACACACTTCACATGGCGGAAAGGAGGCTTCCTCCACACATGATTACTTTCCAGTAATCTGCTTTTAAGTGACACCCCTATGACACATTTCAAGCCATTATCTTGAGGTGGGAGCCTTCATGTCGCTGTTTAAAAACGAGCAAAGTCACTTGACAGAGACAAATTGTTGTTGCAGTTGTCGTGTTATGTCACAGTGATTACTTTCCTCCAAATGCGCCACGGAGAGACCTGTCTAGCCATGCATCAAATGTACTTTTACTTTATTCACTTTGACATTGTTGGGCCTGTGCATGTCGCTGAAATGAAGGGGCGCTCACATTTGATAGTGTATTTATTTACAGAACAGCCTTCCTCTGTCGCAACTTTCATCACAGCTGAGTGACGTGAGCGGGAGGTATTTTCATTTTACAATCAACATTGGAGCATATTAAAGTTATTGCTGCTGGAACAACTCATTTCAGGAAGTTCAATATTTTCAGAGTTGTCACAATTTCTATCTTAGACAGCATTTTGTCATAGATAGTAACCTTTGTGAGACGTGCGTAGATTGTAAAACAATAATAATTAGAGGATTTTATTTCAGCATTCGTTCAAGACTGCTATAAAAAAAAAATATAATAAAAAGTGCTCATTTCACCAGGTTTGTACCTTCACATTATGAAGTCAATTTGGATCAGAATAAACACTAAACCTGTCACTTGTGTAATGTTTTGTATTCCAAGTTATTCTTTACTTGTGAAATGAATTGGATAGTGTTATCCTGGAAAACGTTTAGTGGAGGTAACTGGGTTTACTGCGGGTTTCAGCTGGAGCAGATGGACCTGGAGGCGCGGGAGATCCCCATCCAGAGCCGGCCCATGTACAACAGCAGACTGAAGAGCTACAAAGGGGAGATAGAGAAG